GGATGTAGAAGTAGAGTGGAGATAGGTATGTTCTATTGGGATATGTTGGTGTTGATTGGGATGTGTAGAGTGGATGGGTATGTTATTGGGCATGGAGATGGGTATGTTATTGGGCATGTGTTGGTGTTGAATGGGATGTTATTAAGGTAGAGTGGAGATGGGTATGTTATTGGGATATGTTGGTGTTGATTAGGATGTAGAGTGGAGTGTGGGTAGGTGGGATGGGTATGGTATTGGGCATGTGTTGGCATGTTGAATGGGATGTAGAGTAGAGTGGAGAGTATGTTATTGGGCATGTGTTGGTGTTGAATGGGATATAGAGTAGAGTGGAGATGGGCATGTTCTTTGGGGATATGTTGGTGTTGATTGGCCTCAGTTGGGATGGTCTGGTAATGGGTGAGTGAGTTTAGTTTTACGCCGCTTTTAGCAATATGCCAGCAAGATTACGACGAGGGAAACCAGAAATGGGCTTAACACATGGTTCCCATGTGGACACCAGAAATGGGCTTCACACATTGTACCCATGTGGGGATCGAACCCAGCGAACGCTTTAACTACTGGGCTACCCCACCGCCCCTGGTAATGGGCTTAAGGCGATAATGTTGGGGGAATTGGTTGTTGAGCAGCTGGTGATCGATATATGTTTGAGTTCGTTGGAGTGTGGTAGTACTTGTAATGTTGAATGTTAATAGGTCGAATGTGTTAGTTACCTTTCGACATTAACATGATAGATAAAATATGATATTGGTTAATAGAAAGCGTCATACCCGGTGTCACAACCGGTATCTCTCCCATAGCAAGCGTTTATGTGACTCACAGCTGCAAGGAAGTGAAATCACACACTCACTTAATATCAATCACTGGTTTTCTAGTGCCACAAATTCCAAATGATGTCAGTACTGGATATCATGGAACTTCGGAAACAGGCTTACCTCGTTTCTCGTTCTCGCAGGATCGTTTGAAGTATCGTCTGTTATCAAAATGACCACGTTGTCAGCAGCAGCCCTGTCGCCTCTAGCAGGGTCAAGGACGTCCGTTCGTGCTAAAGCCAGTGCCTCATCAGTGAATGTCGCGCCATTGCTTTGCACGATGGCCATCACGGCCGCTGTTAAAGCAGCTTTGTCGTCGGAGTAGTCGTCCAAGTAAAACTCCACCGTCGCGAAGGTTGCAAACGTTATGACAGCAACGTTGACAGTGACGTTAGAGATTGTAAACGTCTCCGTAACGTTCAACACAAACTCTTTGACCAGGAGAAAATCTGATGCGCTGATACTTCCTGAATCATCGATTATAAATATCAGATCTTTCTCTTCCAGACTACAATCTGCAACAAAATCCATATATACAATTTATATCAGATATTTTACTTCAAAACGATAATCTGCAACCAAACCCATATGTATCATAAATATCAGATATTTTTCTTCTAGACTACAATCTGCAACCAAACCCATGTATGTCATAAATATCAGATATTTTTCTTCAAAACTACAGTCTGCAACCAAACCCATATATAATAAATATCACAAAATAACACAATCTATTATCATTTTCAATAAGGTAAGGTTCATTTGGTATTTTACATAAAGCCTTTTTTCATCATCGTATTGTGTTTCAACTTTCAAATTTCAGGAAAAGTTCAGATCACGCTCACACAAGTTCGAATCCCAGATGGGGATCAAGCTGTACTCTACTGAGCAAGTGTAGTGCCAAACACATGTATAACATATGTTGTATTCATGTGAGGCGAGGTGAAATGGGATTTAACGTCGTACTTGAGAATATTTCGCTCATATGACGACGTACATGTTTGTGTATGTGTGGCTGCTTGTACTAGCCCAGGCTTAAGCTGGTTTTATAGTGCTAGCTCACTGAGATACCATACCAGTTAAGCATGAATACCCCACTCAGACACATTATACTGACTCCGAGCCGACCAGTCCTTGTTGGGCCCATTAATGCCGAGCGCCAGGCAGGGACCAACAGATACCATTTTTTAACGTCTTTTGGTATGACGCGGCCGGGGATCGAACCCGCGACCTTCCGCTCTCCATGAGTAACCACTACACCACGGAGGCGGTCAGCCTCATATGAACCTAAGATTGTAACGGTTCTTGAGTCTGATAGAAAGATGGTCAGTAATGATGACCAATACGTCTTCTAGTCACGCCGAAGAGCCATTCGATTCTCGCATAGGTACGACTCGTGAAGGTCCGGGTTAGAATATTGATCTTCAGTCACCCATGCTTGTCGTAAGAGGCGACTAACAGCTGACTTGGATGACACATGTCATCGGTTCGCAATAGCGCAGATCAATGCTCATGCTGTTGATAACTGGATTGTCTGGTCCAGACTCGATTATTTACAGACCGCCGCCATATACATATATATGTAGCTGGAATATTGCTGAGTGCGGCGTAAAACTAAACTCACTCACAAAGCGATCGTAGTGTTACATCAGTTGCTAACTATGTGTTAAAGTATGGGAGTTAAGACTGTCTTAGAGCTACATCAGCTTTGTGAATACTGTCCACTTACTTGTCTGAGCCGTGGACTGGTGCAGGCAGACAAACGAAGCAACGATCAATGTAATAAAACGCATCTTCATCAGAATAGCGGAGTCTCTTTGTCAACTGTTTAGATGGTTCTACTTAGACGAGGGTTTATTTATTGACTTATGTGAGAATGCTACATGCTGCGACTTAGCCATTACGTGCCAGATATTTACATCATCACGGCGGTAAATTACCAAATTCATTAAACCGAGTTATTAACGCAGTCAAAGTTTGTTATGCAGATGTTGCAAGAGGTGTCGTGCATGGAGAAGGACTGAGAAGATCGCCCCCCAAGTGGGTACGTAGATTAAATGAAAAGTTAATTATTGTTGAAATGTTTCTGGTCCGGCTGGCAATTCGTCCTATCGTTCAAAGGACATTTATAGAAAACTGTGCCCGGTTATAGATCACGTTCCATTTATCACAAAATCTCATTTTGAAAAATGTTTGGATCGACCAATGAGAGTCCAATTCCGAGAACACACTGACTCGCTCAATAGTTACTTTATGTTATATTCATCGAGAAATTGGAGTGCATCGTTAGCTATAGGAAACAGAAATTCATGTATGTGACAAAGAGGCAGTGTTTGAAGTTTTGGACAACAGTTATTTCACGAAAACATGAACTGAAAATTCAGAAATCGAACCCGTGTCTTCAGCGTGACGAGCGAACGCTTTAACAACAAGGCTACCTCACCGAAACCTAAAATGAAAGTTGATCGTGGTACAAAAGCTGGGGTTAATGACTGACTGACTGAGTTTAGTTTTACGCCGCTTTTAGCAATATTCCAGCAATATCACGGCGGGGGGACACCAGAAATGGGCTTAACACATTGTGCCCATGTGGGGAATCGAACCCGGGACTTCGGCGTGACGAGCCAACGCTTTAACCACTAGGCTACCCCACCGCCCCTTGCTCACATGAAAAATAGGGGGTTAATGCCTTCGATACATTCATACATGGTGAGTATGACCTCTGTATAAGCAACCAGAGGGTGTCTGATCCTGAAAGCGGATCAGTAGTCCATATACGACGTCGTAGATACTCTAATACCTATAACGGTTATCAACATATACAAAGAAGGTATTATACGCAAACCGTTTCGAGCAAGAGTTAGTGAGTGAGTGAGTTTAGTTTTTTCGCCGCACTCTGCAAAATTCCAGCTATATGGCGGCGGTCTGTAAATAATCGAGTCTGGACCAGACAATCCAGTGATCAACAGCATGAGCATCGATCTGCGCAATTGGGAACCGATGACATGTGTCAACCAAGTCAGCTAGCCTGACCACCCGATCCCGTAAGTCGCCTCTTACAACAAGCATGGGTTACTGAAGATCAATATTCTAACCCGGACCTTCACGGGTCAAGAGTTAGTGGATGGAGCACCTCTTTATATATGATATCAGTTCGGTTGATCTTATTCAGGCGTTTCCCAGCTATTTCGACCTTACTCAGTGTGATTATATAATAGGTCACCCGTGAAGATCCGGGTAAGAATTGATCTTCAGTAATTCATGCTTGTCGTAAGAGGCGACGAACGGGATCGGATGGTCAGGCTTTCTGACTTGGTTGACACGTCACCATATCTCAGTCGCGATGCTGATCGATGCTCATGCTGTTGATCACTGGATTGTTTGGTCCAGACTCGATTATTTACAGACCGCCGTCATATAGCTGGAATATTGCTGAGTGCGGCGTAAAACTAAACTCACTCACTCAATATAACAGGTCCAAGTGGAACAATAATTTCTGTTTTAAAGTTTTATGCTAATTACTGTTCATAATTTATTAAAATTCTAAGATTAAACAAGGTAAAATCCATCAACATGATTATGGCAGAAACATACTTTTAAACCATTCTCTGTAATAACTCGATACGAACTCAAGTCTTTAGATTTTGTTTTTACAATAGTTTGAAATCTTTGTTTTAGAGTTACCTTTCCCTAGTAAAGGGAGGTAATAACTAGGAAGCGAGACGGAGCAAAGTTTATCGAACAAACAACATTGTCAGGTCATGTCATCACACAAATGTATATTTTGCAAAATTGCCCAAGGAGATGACCCAAAGACAACAATACTGTTTCAGGATGAAGAAACTGTTGTTTTCATGGACAGGAAACCTGCGACAAAGCATCATTATCTAGTCATACCCAAAAGCCACAGGTCTGATGCAAAGAGTTTAGCAGCAGACGATATAGAACTTGTTAACACACTGGTGACTGTGGGGAGTCGTGTTTTGGAAGAGAATGGAGGACAGGTGTCGGATGCAGTGATGGGATTTCATTGGCCGCCATTCCATAGCATCAGTCATCTGCATCTGCACGTGATCTCGCCGAAGCAGGACATGGGGTGGATAGCCCGGGGTATCTTCAGACCCGACTCACTGTGGTTCGTCACTGTGGAATGGCTGCTGAACAGACTTACAAAAATGAAGGACAACCCACATTGAAATATATATGAACATTTGTTTAAATCATTTAATTATATTTGTGCAGGTATACATCTTTAAAGAAACCCCTCAAATACCATACTGATCTTTGGAGAATGCACGAGTGTATTTAATTTGTGCATGTACACAATATTTTTAAAGAAACTCCACAAATACCTCATTGATGTTTAGAGAATACACGAGTGTATTTATTTGTGCATGTATACAAAAATTTTAAAGAAACACCTCAAATTTCTTACTGATGTTTGGAGAATGCACGAGTGCATTTATTTGTGCCTCTATACAACATTTTTAAAGAAACTCCTCAAATACCATACGGATCTTTGGAGAATGCACGAGTGCATGTATTTGTGCATGTATACAACATTTTTAAAGAAACACCTCAAGTACTTTACTGATGTTTTGAGAATGCATGTGACTTGTCAGCCGTTGTCACAAGCTCTTGACATTGTATCTTTCTTTGACTGTTCAGGGAATACAAGAATGCAATGTTGTTGTTTGGTGTCCTACCCTATGCTGCACAATGTTCCAGCTCTATGAGGGGTGATGGGTAGTGTAGTGGTTAAAGCGTTCGCTCATCACGTCATAGACCTGGGTTTGATTCTGAATTCTGATATAACATTGAATTGTTTGTAAAAGCACCACTTCCCAAGGGAAACTTCAGTGTCAAATTTATTCATATTATATCAAGGTATACTGAATATCTTTGACTGTTCTTACTTGAGCATAAAATGCTGAAATTTTATTAGATCAACAGCTTTTTAAATGTGTGTGAATGTAACACAAGTTCTGCTGTATAACAAATAAGGTTTCAGTCATTTTATCTGTCATAACCCTGACAACTGTTCTTTTTTTAGAAATTGTAAAGTATCGGGATACGTATCGTATCGCCAGGATTGTATCATGATGATAATCGTCTTGCAGGTTCCTTGCCAATACTTTCATGATATATCGTCTCGCCTCATTAAACTGGTATTGGGATATATCGTCTCTCCACTTTGGCCATGATACACAGCTCTAGTATGAACCCACTTCTGGTGTCCCCTGTCCTGATGTTGCAATACAAACAGGCCATATAATGAGTATGATGGCACGCATTTAGCCGAGTTGTTGATCTATTTAATCAGTGGTCTGAAAAACCCAAGCAGCTGTTGCTGGGAACATATTCCAAGGCAGATTCTCTAAAAGGTACCTGCACAAGAAGTACCTAGTTTAATGTATAAGGGAATATATATAATTCTTACAACAGTGTAATCTGTACATAAGACAATTAATCTGTTCTAGTGGATGTTACATTGTTGCTGGGGACCCATCTAACATGATTCACCACTGTACTTAGGGTTTAACATGTCATTAGTTCGGCCACCTGGGAGGGAAACTATGAGCCAGTCAAAAGGAACAACCTGCTTTTTGTGATAAATACCTATCTCGTGAAACATATACGGACTGTATATGATCTCCAAAAACATTCAGTGGTAAAGACTGACTGACTGACTGAGTTTGGTTTTACGACGCTTTTAGCAATATTCCGTCATTTCTGAATGTGTCGTTTAAATTTGCTTAAGTAATATTAAAATGATCCTGTCCAATCACTTGCCATGTATATATTTGTTTAGTGATGTATATATATATTTCTGTTTACTCTCATTGGCTGTTTCAGAAATATACTGTTCTGCCTGCCTGCCTGTCTGTCTGTCTTATATTCCATGAATAGAAATGATCTTAATTGTGTTTTATAATGTACTATAATATACTGGGGAGGGCTGAAACATTAACAACTAGTTGTCTATGACTTGTATTCATAATGAACTTGTGTATGTGTACATACTTGGTCTTGGCGCTATATCCCTGAAAAACTCACCCACTCACTCTTATCTGTAATATTGGCAGTTGAACTAAAGGCATTCTGTAATTTAGGCCACATTTTGTGTGTATAATTTAATGAAGTTTGTTAGTAGCAAATGTCTGATTCATGAATATTTGACGCTTGTTTCCACAGGTTAGAATCATTTTACTATATTAGTTCTTTGCACACAATATCAAGAAACATGAGTGTCTGTTTTTGCATTGCTTGGTTTTAGGAATTGTTCTCAAAACTTGAAGTTGGTGCTTGAAAAAAAAGACACTTTCAGTTCTTTTTGGTCTTTTGTGTCAACAAATGTTCAGTAGGTATAAAAACATGTTTTCAAAATGTAATTATTCATTGTCATGATGGCCAAAATTCTGAGATTTGGGGTCCTGTGAGTTTAATATCATGTATTCAAACATGCATGAAAACAGTTTGTGATGTATTTTATTGTTAAATAGGGTTTATTTAAATAATCTCAACTAAGATATTTTTTCTATTTTTCCTGATTTTGACAGGTGGTGAATTATTCAGCCAAGTAATTATAAAGTTATTGGTAAAGCACAAATTTGTCTACGTTTGAGTGGTTGAGAGTGTTCCGGGATTCGAACCCACATATAGCATTTTACTTATGACTACTTTCTAAAGGGTATTCACACCTTTTGGCTTCAGGGGTGTGCCAATATACACTTACCAGAAGGGTACCAAGGCACTACCAGTTGTTCCACTTCTGTATGGATGGAGAGCTAAGTGAGTTGTTTTGTATTCTGTGGATTTTATGCCTCAACATTGAGAGAGTGAGTTCGAATCCTGGATGGAACTCAAGCCCCCCAAAAGTAGTAGAAGTTGTACTTTACTAAGAAACTCCTCACCCAAGATATAACTTTTCATGTGACTACCTTCTAAACTTTCTGTGTATTCATTGTAGTGTTTTCGCTCTGAGAACAGTTTCTAAATGATAGAAACTGACCGAAAATGTAATGCAAAGACAGTAAAACGTGTTGTTTAAGCAGGTCTAGTTGAACTATGAGGATTTGTCATTGAAAAGGTAAACTTGTCCTTTTTACTTTGTCATAAGAGGATACTAGAGGGATCGGGTGGACTGGCCCGCTGATTTGGTTGACACATGTCATCGGTTCCCTATTGCGCAGATCGATCCTCATGCTGTTGATCACTGGATTGGTCGGCCCAGACTCGATTATTTAACAGGCCGTCGCCTTATAGCTAGAATATTACTAAATGCGGCCTTACACAAGAAACAAACAAATGAACTTTAAGAATAGTCTTTTAAGTCGAATTTGGAAAGCTGAAGAATGCGAATTTCGTGGAACGCATATTTTAATAGGAGCGTGACATCGGCTGTTTCAGCGGATCGTGTTGATGTACTAGAGACAAGATTACGCGACATGGGGTATATTACACGTGCAGGTGTTGTGATTGAAAGTTCTGTCACAGGTGTGCAGTTAATTGAATTTCAGGCGAGGTACGTCGACAGAGAATTATTGCTGGAGGAGGTTGTAATCTAATCCTGAAGTCCCCAGTAATGGGAGCGCTGCAGCAATTAATTGGTTCTCTCTCTATATATATACAGCTAAATGTTAATTAAGCACCACCAAATTCAAAAGTAAATATTATCAATTAGTGTCAAGTATGGATAATGAAATTTCACAGTATGCTATATGCCTGTATTGCCCGTGCATCACACGTATCGCAGACATAAACTGCGCAATACAGAAGATGACGTGCTCGATACACATGCACAGGGTCTTTCGACTGAAAACACAGTATTGTTGTTTGATACTTGGTGGCTGAAATGTGAATGTTGAAGCAACAGATCTTATTGTACTGTTCCAATACAACATGCCGAGATGTAGGCTATCCGAGAACCTACGATGGAGAATCATTGGCATGCATGAAACCGGTTTATCATGCCGTCAAATTGGTATCAATTTGAATCTCAATCACACCATTGTTAGCCGACTGGTACGAAAGCACGGGCAAACTGGAGACGTCAAAGACCGACCCAGACCTGGACGTCCAAGAAAAACTAGTGCTCGTGACGACAGGGCCTTAATTTGCTTAGCCAGACGCACTGACAGACACATGCAAGAACGCCTGGCGTGGTGCAGGTTAAGGCAAAACCACAATCTCTGATACTGGCGCAGAGTCCATTGGTCGGACGGAAGTCGTTACCTTTTGCACGTCACTGACGGCCGCAGCCGTGTCTGGTGCCGCCGCAATGAAGCTTATAACCCGGAAATGATTGAACCAACGGTGGCGGTGGCTCAGTGATTGTGGGGGGTTGTGTGTCCTACGACTGCAAGCTGGACCTAATCACAGTACCGGGAACGTTAAACGGACAACGTTATCAACGTGACATCTTGGATGTTGCCGTAATACCCCATTTTGACAATCACACACTTGCCAGTCGTCCCCTGTTCATGGATGATAACGCCAGGCCTCATCGTGCCAGAGCAGTAGTCGATCATTTGAGGAACAATGCTATTGACACTATTCCATGGCCAGCCAAAAGCCCGGATCTTAATCCCATAGAGCATTTATGGGATTATCTTGGGCGCCAAGTGAGAGCCAGAGATCCTCCTGTGCAGAATATGGATGAACTGCAACAGGCTCTTCACGATGAGTGGCAGAGAATCCCGATGCTTAGAATCAGACGTCTCATTTCAAGCATGAGAAGGCGTCTTGAAAATGTGATTCGTGTTAGAGGTGGATACTCCCGATACTGACTAAACAGTTTCTAGAGATAGCCATGATGACAACAAGCATATTTAAGTTGAACGTTTGACATTGCAGATACCAGTATGGACTGGACAGTGATACTTTTCAGGCCTAATGAAATGGTCGTTTTGACGCTTATTCGCATAACTCCAATAAATTGGTATCAAAGATAATCATCGGCTTTGTTTTCTGTGTAGTGATAGTGCAGGACATCCCTTCAGCAAAATCAATCCTCTTTACATTGAGTCAGACAGGAAATTGCACTTTTCATGATTTGAATGTTGAACTTTTCTGAAAAAGTGGGTGGTGCTTAATTAACGTTTAGATGTATATATAAATACATTCTTAAACAGGATTTACCTGCGTCTTGCATGTTGCGGCGGCTCTAAAACTCCCAGAAGTTCACTTAAACACAGCGTTATGATAAAACGAAATCATACCATACATTTTACACAATTAAATTTCCATCTACATAATACTGAAAACAAAACATCGAACGGACAAATGCACACATAACAACCGACCAGAAAAAACCCAACGTCCTACTACACTACATACTACAAACAATACAGAATGGTGCTCCAGAGCTCACTTAACATTAACACACACTTAGAACCACACACACTCTTAAGCCCACTAAATAGCACCCAAACCTTCACACCTAAAATATTTTTTCTGATTTTTGGCCACATATTGTCCCACAAATACCTATCTAAAACACAAAAACTACACAATCTAAAAAAACCCAACATAAACCAAAGTACCCCTACAAGTTTCCAAATTCAATATTCATACAAAAATTAATATGCAACCCTACCGACCTCCCCAAAAGATTGCTCTCAATTTCGGTCATAATAGCACGTCTTTCTATTTAGCACTCAGTGGCTGGGCGAAATACGCATCATGTCGGAAAGCGCACGTAAAATCTCCTTCATATAACTTTCTATTCTGTGAGTTTTCTGATTCAACTGACCAGTAAGGGTCGTCCTTCACAAAATTCCCATGCTGACTGGTTACGTGTTTTGCTAATTCGGGGATTAAACGGGGGGATTCGATGGTTCATTCGCAGGACGACGACTCCTCGAGTCGTATAAAAACAAACCATGAAAACAGCAGGTCCCCTTCCTGCGAATGCAACCAGTAGCCAATTATACACAACAATTGACAGTCAGTGTGAGTTTAACGATTTAATTCCCTGTGTTGGGGGTGGGGTGGGGGGTTGTTGTTATTGTTGGTTGGCTGGGGGTTTATATAACCAACAAAGATATCTGTTAATGGGCATTTTATTAACAAAGCAGACAGCATAAAATGTACAATTCAGCAGTAGATTCAATGGACATTACTGGAGTTTCAAGATGTGGGAGGCAGCATCAGCGAAGTGTCCCCTCCGTAGCATGTCTTTCAAGTTGCCGAGTCTTCTCTGGACGTCCTGATACTTCTTTTTCTTGGGAGGGAGGCGTTGACCAGCGGCATACTGGACCAGATGGATCTCGTTCTTTTGTTCAGATGCCAGGAACCGGGTGAGCTCGAAGACGTTTAGATGGGTCTTGCCGATGGAACCAAAGGCAGTGCACAGTGTCGCACGGACCGGGTGATTTCAGGATTCTGGTTGTAGTCTACCTGGAGGCCGAAGTGTTGGGTTTTCCCCTCCACACACTGAGCAAAATGGAAAAAACAGCCCTTCCAGTGGTACCAGGGAAGATTCTATACATAAAGCCAGCTACACATTAATACCTGCATGTAATCTCTGAGTTGATTGGAATGAACACTGTTCGTTGCCAGTCAGGGCCTGTAGTCACTTTGAGATGACCCACTGACGGCAGTCCCTTGTTAATCCCATGTTATAACAACATCAAACATCAAAGACAAACTGGAGGTCACATTCCTACGAATGGGACATTTTGGAGAGTCGACGCCCTGAGAATACCCCGTTTCGAGGATGGGAGGTGTACTGCTTAAGGCAACAAAATATATAGTGTGTATACATTGCAGAAGGTCTAAGGTAAGCAGGCTCCGATTTCTCGAAACAAACTTAAGTATGGATTTACACTTTCAAAGTTTTTTTCGCGAAATAGGAGTCGTAACCTTACAAATAAAGCCAGCCGTGTAAATAGAGGCGACAAAACCCTGCCCACATCTATAAGAAATCTCTACTAAAAGCAGAGTCGATTGTAGAATTGTGACTATATCATGAGCAGGTTTTTGTTTCAGCAGTATTACAGCTGTAATATGTTGTTTGTAAACAAATTGAACCAGACAATCCAGTGATTGTCACCATGCGATACGATGACAGAGCATGTGTTTATGAATTACTATCAAACAGCGATGATAACAGGTGTTCGCGAAATTGAGCGTATCCTGCCACACCGGTGGCACCCGTCATAAACATATGCTATAAGTCTAGTCAATTGTTCACCAGAAGTAATTCGGGAACGTATGGTATGTCTACAATAAAGCGTCTTGAAAGTTTTACTGAGGCCTTGACATACAGATAAACAGATAGGTTATGTTTGATGAGTTGATGGTAAGCTGGGGCTATATTATAGCCTTGGTCACGGTTGATGGATGGTAAGAGTTTCTAAATGGAGATTACGTCTTGGAGTTTTCTGATTTTGAAACCTTTGAGGGTGTTAATGAGGGCTTTGATTTTGTCCCACTGGATGCTGCGGTCCAGGTTGCCACGGATATGGTGAGATAGAGCTGACTTAGAATCTAGTATTGCTACTGAGCTGTGATGATCTTTAATTCCGATTTTGGGGAGTCTGGATTCCTACTAGTTCTCATTGTTGGCTGGATGGTGGTTTGCCAGTGGCGTTAGTGGTATATCTCTCTTGATAAATAGAGATTATTAACCGAGTGTGCTTCCGTATCATTAATATCATATTGTAGGAATAAAAATTGTATTATGCGAGCCTTTGGTGAGCACAATACATAATTTTTATTCCTTAATATATGATATTAATGATACGGAAACACACGAGGTTAAAAATCTCTTTATCATATAATGTCATTCTTAAAATTACTCTAAAAAAGAAGCAAATCGTACGTGAATTTATATATGAAGAGAATCGATCATCGCGTAAAAATACTTAGCTACACAACAGAGTGAAGGTCGTTCATGACGGCAGCATATGGTTGTGACTAGTCGCTAAAACAGTGCAAACATAACTCATGCTTAAAATATGATCTTTCTGTCTAAAAGGAACAACAAAATCGGGCAGAGTTTTCCTGGCAGTGTTTCTGTTTTCATTGCGGGTAATCACCTCATCAATATCAGTTTCTGATTCCTGACGGAATCGATTCGTCGTCTGTATTGTGATCGATAGATCGAAATCCTTGATTGGTACCTTTCTTAGACAATGGCCTTTCAGCCGTGCCTCATAATCCGTACCTTCAATTTGAACAAAGTACTCCGTTTCATGTTTTCCAAAGTTAATTACTGCAGTCACGACTCCAGAACCCCTGTCATCAATTCCTACAGAATCACAAATTTTGAGAATGGGGGGAGCCATGTTTGTTTACAAATAACGTAAACTCGCGACGACGTCATCAACGAAATACGTTTTAGGATTCGCATGGCGTGTATGGAGTTTTGTGAAAGTAGTTCGTGGATTGACGTAATTTGCATAGTTATCAGATTTGGATACCAAGTTTATCAGATTGCTTTATTGCACCGATAACACCCTCCATTAGATGATAACTACATTTATCATCCAAAACTAACTCCCACAGTAGATATCGCTAGTGAGATCAAACGATATCTACAAGCGATATCTACATTGTAGATATCGCAACAACTGGATTGTCATAATGCTATGTCACCATCAGTTAATGACCTCACAATACTTCGACATCACTAAGAACACAGCTGACAATACTATGACGTCACAAAATTGATGACATCTCAATGCTATGTCATAAAGCTGATGACGTCACAATGTTATGACCTCACTGAGATCACTGCTCAAGAAGCCTAATGGCAGTTTGTGTTCTAATAATTTTTTTCTTTTACTGATAACTGATGACGAATGATTTAGGATGATAAATAATATCTCACCCTCGTGTCTTCTGATATCAATTATATCAGCACTCGTTGATTAAAGTAAATATATCCTCGGCAAGCCTCGGAAATCAACCCGTGTTGATATACATGTATTTGATAGAAAACACTTTGGTGAGATTCTCTGTTTATGTTGGCCAGTGTCTTTAATAGTAGGGGCGGTGGGGTAGTCTAATGGTTAAAGCGTTGGCTGGTCACGCCGAAGACCCGGGTTCGATTCCCCACATGGGTACAATGTGTGAAGCCCATTTCTGGTGTCCCCGCGTGATGTTGCTGGAATATTGCTAAAAGCGGCGTAAAACCATACTCACTCACTCTTTAATAGTTACGAAGGTTGATCTCAAAGAATGCGGATTGTTGACAATTTGTTGAAGAATTCCTGCTTTTGTTTCATGATGTTCAGCATTATACTTATTTGTCCATATTCCTCCCTACAATACCCTATACATCACCTGTTTGATAACTGTGTTAGAATCTACACCGAAATGTCGCTCCCCATTATGATGAGGCGAGGTGAGGTGAAATTGGGTTTAACGTCGTACGAGAATATTTCGCTCATATGACGACGTGCATGCCTGTGTATGTGTATGTGCGGCTGCTTGTACTAGCCCAGACTGAAGCTGGTCTTATAGTGCTAGCCCACTGAGATACCATGCCACAGTGAAGCATGAATACCCTACTCAGACACATTATACTGACTCCGAGCCGACCAGTCTTTGTTGTACCCATCATGCCGAGCGCCAGGCAGGGACCAACAAGTACCATATTTTAACGTCTTTTGGTATGACGCGGTCGGGGATCGAACCAGCGACCTTCCGCTCTCCGGGTGGACGCTCTAACCACTACACCACGGAGGCGGTCCCCATTATGATGAAGAGGTTGTTAAGCCATATATCTTATCCTTACTTAGTACTCCAACGTCTAAATGCCTCTCATAGAAACAACTAGAAATAACACATACTCCCTATATAATTACGAAAATGTCCAAAATTACACAATTACTGAATACTTTTGAATACGTTTTGTATCCATTCATACCCAGATAATTGTATCTAAACATTTTGATCTCCCAGAAAAGCAAGTACTGTTACAGGTAATCACAAACACAAGGTGTGATTTATTTTTGGCGTGGATACAACTGACGGGTTCAAGTGCTTGGACAGGTAACCTTTCCTTGAACTCTGCTACCTTGAATCTGACCCGCAGAATCGACGCAGAAGCAACGACCTGGAACATCAAGCAAGCCAAATTACTGTCGCAATAGCCAATGTATACCCTGTGAGTTTTGTCAGTGTGTGGTAATGGTTAAAGCTCTAATGGTTAAAGCGTTCGCTCATCACGCTTAAGACCTGGGTTCGATTCCCCACATGGGTACAATGCGTGAAGCCCATTTCTGGTGTCCTCCGCCGTGATATTGCTGGAATATTGCTAAAAGCGGCTTAAAGCCTTACTCACTCACTCACTCACATAAAATGATAAATTAATTTGGCGTTTTCAAGACATGTCTAAATAGTTATTAAGTTCTCAGAGTCTGTGCTTCCTTGAAAGTTTACATTTTCTGTCAATTCCATTCAGCTCCCGTTTGTAACAAAATGAAAACATTGAATGCTGGCTCTAGCCCTCAAATGTTTCTAGTCAGTGAGGATTTGTGGTCAGCGGAACTTAGAAGTCTTGGGCTAGCGGGCTAGCATGAACTTCAAAGGCTTAAGCTCCGTGTAGGTTATTAGACGACTAGGCTTTTATGACTCGTTATTTCAAGAAAGTGGAAAACATCTTTGCCAACTTCACCTTTTATATTTTCTACCCAATTAAGTTGATCAGTCGTGGAATAACAGAAAAACCTATTTGCAGGAATGATGTCACATGGCGTTTCATTCGTGGCCAACTCGTGTTATTCCGGAACAAGCCGAATAGCTTCTTCTTGGCAGTTACGGAAAGGGGCGAGTGGTAACGAATGATGGCGTCGTTCAACCTTACCTGCTAGGTCGCACTGCATTGGCTCGAAGGCCCCGTCGGCGTCACACTTTGGCGTCCAGTTGTCCGAGTATGTCGGCTGGGACGCCTTCGCGATCTTCATCTTCTCACACGCGGTAATATCTGGGAATGTTAGCATTTTATTAACAGTTTGTGTAACAGACCAGCAAACTTGATGTTTGTCGATCAAACTGGACATTGCAAACGCAGTGTTAAAGAGGTGTACTCAAACCACTGTCACTCACAAACACGTAATGTCACTCAAGCACGTAATGTCATGCCTCCTGTGATACGATGACTATGGCCACAATGCTATGTACTCAAACCATTGTCACTCACTCACTCAATGTCACATGTAATGTCATGCCTCCTGTGATACGATGACTAAGGCCACAATGCTATGTACTCAAACCATTGTCACTCATTCACTCAAACATGTAATGTCATGCCTCCTGTGATACGATGACTAAGGCCACAATGCTATGTACTCAAACCATTGTCACTCACTCACTCAAACATGTAATGTCATGCCTCCTGTGATACGATGACTATGGCCACAATGCTATGTACTCAAACCATTGTCACTCACTCACTCAAACATGTAATGTCATGCCTCCTGTGATACGATGACTAAGGCCACAATGCTATGTACTCAAACCATTGTCACTCACTCACTCAAGCATGTAATGTCATGCCTCCTCTGATACGATGACTATGGCCACAATGCTATGTACTCTCTTAACTGTCTTAATTCATCAGATAACAATAAAGAGTATATTGACATTTGCTTACCGTCTAAGAGAAAACGCTTGCTTTGTGTGTCTTTCACGCATTTGCCTTTACCGAAAAAATCCAGGAAGGCACTGCCGACGGAGTCGCACACGAGACCCGTGTCACACTGGTCGTGGGGGAGCGGCCCCGTCAACAGGGAGGACTTCTGGCATAAGTCTCCTTCTACCTAGATCAGGAAACATGTATATCATGAGTGGCATCAGAATAGTTGTTGTTATTGACAATTCATTCATCATTAAAGCAGCACAAGTTCTGTTGTGACCCGTGAAGATCTGGGTTAGAATTGATCTTCAGTAACCCATGCTTCTCGTAAGAGGCGACTACAGGGATCGGGTGGGCAGGCTCGTTGGCTTGGTTGAGTGAATGAGTTTAGTTTTACGCCGGTTTTAGCAAAATGTTCCAGCAATATCACGGCGGGGGACACCACAAATGGGCTTCACACATTGTACCCATGTGGGGAATCGAACCCGGGTCTTCAGCGTGACGAGCGAACGCTTTAACCATTAGGCTACCCTAACCGCCCCGCTTGGTTGACACGTGTCATCGTATCCGCTCGCTGACTTGGTTGACACGTCATTGTATCCCACTAGCGTAGATCGAAGCTCATGTCGTTGATCACTGGATTGTCTGGTGCAGACAAGATTATTCACGGCAACACCACCACCACCACCAACAAAACCAACACCCAAACTCGTTGTCGTCACTGAAAAAATAAGTTTAATCTGGTTATTTTTACCACACAATATACAATATTATTCGGTATCATTTGAGTTTCTAATAAAGCAGCCTTAAACACACCTCACTCACTCACTCAACATACCTTGGCACAGGGGGCGGTGGGATGAAGTGTTCGTTTGTCACGCCGAAGACATGGGTACAATGTGTGAAGCCCATTTCTGGTGTCCCCCGTCGTGATATTGATGAAATATTGCTAAAAGTGGCGTAAAACAAAACTCACTCAGTCACACTCACCTTGGCACAGGTGTCTGTACAGCCACAGAAGCCCCCTCCCTCGATGACGGACCCCGGGCAAGTGAGGGGCGTCTTCTCTACCCCATCACACATGTCAGGGGTACAAACAATAGCCCCCGCCGTCACGACGGCTGCCAGGAACGCTGCTAGACGGATCATCGTGTCAAATACTGGACCATGTGCCCGACCTGTCTTTTATAAAGCAAGATACAGGCAGAGCTGTGCAGAAAATAGGCTTTCGGCTTATCAGATTGATAATCTCTTTGTTAACTCCTCGACGTTTTAACATTTGCTTTGACGTCGCAGAATTTTTACAACAACATGGAGTATTTGTTTCTTTGATTGCTCTTTTACGCCAGGAATAGAATTTGTCCAGCTATATGGCTGCGGCCTGTACATAGGCTTTGGGCCAGATAATCCAGTGATTGACACAATGACCAGCGATCTAAGACGCGATGACATGCACCAACCAAGTAGGTAAGTCTTAAAACGGGATCCCGTTAGTCGTCTCTTATAACAACCATGGGTTGAAAAACAGTTGTAACTCGGACCTTAACGGGGAAGAAGCGTAATGACGACGATCTGTACAAAAGCTGATCCCAAGCCATGTGAACTCGTGAAAGACGCCGATCAAACCACGGAACCTTTTGAAACTTATCCCCAAGTTCGAATGAAGTTACTGGCACTGGTCAAAGGACTCTCAGCCTTGTCATTAAAAATGTAAGCATATGTGAAAACTGTTATTGCCATGATATTGCTGGAATATTGCTGGAATATTGCTGAAAGCGACTTAAAACCTCACTCACTCTTTGTTGTTTAACGAAACACGCAGCATTCCTAATTTCCAGGTACATGACGGCTGTCTGTAAACGATGTGACCAGACAATCCAGTGACTGACATCATGAGCAACGATGTACCCAATCAGGATACGATGACATGCATCAACCAAGTCACCAACTGATCCCGTTCGTCGCCACTTACACCAAGTATTGGTTGCTCAAGGCCAGTTGTAATCATGAGGGGCGGTGGGGTAGCCTAGGAGTTAAAGCGTTCGCTCACCATGCCAAAAACCCGGGTTCTATTCCCCACATGGGTACAATGTGTGAAGCCCATCTCTGTTGTCCCCAGCCCTGATATTGCTGGAATATTGCTAAAAGCGGCGTAAAACACAATTCATTCATCCACTGTAATCCTGATCTTCTTGGATGTGATAAGTAATGATATACAACAATGTGAATTGCACGCAATATCAAATTGTGAGTATACGAAGCGATGTCTTTCGAATTAATACCAGTAGAGCCTTTGCGACAGTATGATTTCACCTACTAATGGCCGAAACTTTACACAACGAATTGCTGTAGATATCACCGTTTCCAGTACATAACGATATTTTGACTACATTGCATGGCAAAACCGTGTCTTCTCAGACTTGTAGTATAGAACAAACGACGGGCCAGAGTTCGTTTAGAAAACTGTCCCTCTTCATGAGACGCTGGAGACAACTTGAACAAATTGAGTCATTCATGTTACAGACCAAACACATTATGTTACATACTGAAAACAGTGAATAAATATTTAATTCTGTAAACTAGATTTCTAACAAAGTCGCTAAAACGTCAGAATATTTGCAGCTAGAAGGTTTCGTTTTAGTGGCCTACAGTATTCTACGCGTAAACTGATTAGATAAGCCAAACATGCTAGAACTCTGACAGCTGGTCATTATACACGTCTCTGTCAGTACATTGCATATTCGCTGTATCACGCAACAAATGCATGTGTCCACTTCTAAAACTGACCCTGAGTGAGCAACAATGTGCTTGTGTGCTAAGGGTACACAGCTATGTGACTAGCTTCTACGCACATGCCCATGCAGTGACCACACGGTCGTAGATAAACGTATTGGTCGAAGTATAAAAACATGACCTAGTCAACCAAAATATACTGTCGAAAGAAAGAAACGCGACGGTAAGCAATGAAGCAGGCGTGGCAGAGCGACTGTTGTTTTAGGGCGCATTTATCAATATTTCTGAGTATGGGCCTAACGCAGTCACAGGATGCAACAGTTTAACAATAATACTATAACAGCACAATATGACAAGGATATATGTGATCGCACGTGGGCGGTAGAACGCCAATATATTTCTCAAAAATTCTAAAATGAGATTATTACACTTTTGGCAACTTGTTCATTGCCCCATTATAAATTCCACATGGCGCGAAATGAGACTGCATATCACACTAAATGACACACCACTGTCCATATGACGCGATCCAGATTGAGATTTTCTTAGTTTTGTTTGGGGGGCGGTGGGGTAGCCGAGTGGTTAAAACGTTGGCTCGTCACGCCGAAGATCCAAAGGTTCGAATCCCCACAGGGGTACAATATGTGGAGCCCATTTCTGGTGTCCCCCGCCGTGATGTTGCTGGAATATTGCTAAAAGCGGCGTAAAACCAAACTCAGTCAGTAGTTTTGCTTGGAGGACTGTCTTTTTCAAAGAAGATTTCATGCATAGCTCATTTCCACGTTGTTTGGGAACATGAAACAGCAGGTCAATCCAAACTAACGCTATTGTTATTATGTATTTTTCTACAAAAAGACAGCATTATATCACATTGGCTTCGTTCACGAAGCAGCCATATGTTCATGTAGAGTACTTGTCATTGAACAACCCGGATGAAGCAGAAGAGAACATAGAGTAACGTCCCTTTGTCAAGTGAACTCCCGTATTCCTGGGTTTCTCTCCAGAGTAACGTCCCTTTGTAAAGTGAGCTCCCGCATTGCTGGGTTTCTCTCCAGAGTAACGTCCCATTGTAAAGTGAGCTCCCGTATTGCTGGGTTTCTCTACGAAGCAGGATCCGGAACAACGGAATTCAGCTGGATGCATGGAATCGAGGAAACGATTGTTACTAACACATCCTCAGTTCGAACCAAAATCGGAACACATGAAGAGATATTGAAGTTCACGACATTACTGCTTATACAGCTTAATGTAAATTGACTTTTTCAAAACGATATAGTTTGTATGAATATGTGTGGAATAAAGATGTGTTTATTTCTGTGAAGTACACGAAGGTTGCGCGGCTAGTCTGGAGGACAGTCAACATGGCCATGGATCTTGCCGGTTTGTATGTCCCCAGTGGTGGAGTTCACACAGAAACAGAGACCTGAAACACAAGTTGTGAAATTGTTACTATCATTGATGATGCTGCTGCTGCTGCTGATTTCATTTTTCATAGATGATTCTTTGTTGAGTACAGATATCATAAAAATACATCACATACACATAAGAACTGGTCACATTACCAATAAAATGAACACTTCTTGCATCAGTAATTGATCTCTTAAGCACAACACATTAGTGCCCAATACACGGTTAGTTTGACACCCGGTGTCTACGTACATCACCACAGTATTGGTTTCTCAGGTGCTTTCTCTGATTTTGCTATGGAAATTGTGTCCGGGATGTGGTGTGTGTTGAATTTTATGATGATATAGTGATAAATCATTATGATATTATACTCCAATTCAATACTTTTGTTAATCAAAAGCAATCTAGAATGTTAGTTTAAAAGGCCTGTATCAAAGAATTTCTAATTCCAGACATAAAGTATAACCGTGTTGTTACGCCCTATATTACGTCAACAGTGGTGTCTGTGTTACGTCAACAGTGGTGTCTGTGTTACGTCAACAGTGTTGTCTGTGTTACGTCAACAGTGGTGTCTGTGTTACGTCAACAGTGGTGTCTGTGTGACGTCAACAGTGTTGTCTGTGTTACGTCAACAGTGGTGTCTGTGTTACGTCAACAGTGGTGTCTGTGTTACGTCAACAGTGGTGTCTGTGTTACGTCAACAGTGGTGTCTGTGTTACGTCAACAGTGGTGTCTGTGTTACGTCAACAGTGGTGTCTGTGTTACGTCAACAGTGGTGTCTGTGTTACGTCAACAGTGTTGTCTGTGTTACGTCAACAGTGGTGTCTGTGTTACGTCAACAGTGGTGTCTGTGTTACGTCAACAGTGGTGTCTGTTTTACGTCAACAGTGGTGTCTGTGTTACGTCAAAGTGGTGTCTGTGTTACGTCAACAGTGGTGTCTTTGTTACGTCAACAGTGGTGTCTGTGTTACGTCAACATTGGTGTCTGTGTTACATCAACAGTGTTGTCTGTGTTACGCCAGCAGTGGTGTCTGTTTTACGTCAACAGTGGTGTCTGTGTTACGTCAACAGTGGTGTCTGTGTTACGTCAACAGTGGTGTCTGTGTTACGTCAACAGTGGTGTCTGTGTTACGTCAACAGTGGTGTCTGTGTTACGTCAACAGTGGTGTCTGTGTTACGTCAACAGTGGTGTCTGTGTTACGTCAACAGTGGTGTCTGTTTTACGTCAACAGTTGTGTCTGTGTTACGTCAACAGTGGTGTCTGTGTTACGTCAACAGTGGTGTCTTTGTTACGTCAACAGTGGTGTCTGTGTTACGTCAACAGTGGTGTCTGTGTTACGTCAACAGTGTTGTCTGTGTTACGTCAACAGTGGTGTCTGTGTTACGTCAACAGTGGTGTCTGTGTTACGTCAACAGTGGTGTCTGTGTTACGTCAACAGTGGTGTCTGTGTTACGTCAAAAGTGGTGTCTGTGTTACGTCAACAGTGGTGTCTGTGTTACGTCAACAGTGGTGTCTGTGTTACGTCAACATTGGTGTCTGTGTTACATCAACAGTGTTGTCTGTGTTACGCCAGCAGTGGTGTCTTCATTACGCCTACCACAATGTTGTCTGTGTTACGTCTACAATGTTGTCTGTGTTACGTCAACAGTGGTGTCTGTTTTACGTCAACAGTGTTGTCTGTGTTACGTCACAGTGGTGTCTGTGTTACGTCAACAGTGGTCTGTGTTACGGTAACAGTGTCGTCTGTGTAACGTCCTCAGTGGTGTCTGTGTTACGGCAACAGTGTTGTCTGTGTTACGCCAGCAGTGGTGTCTTTGTTACGCCTACAACAGTGTTGTCTGTGTTACGTCTACAATGTTGTCTGTGTTACGTGGACAGTGGTGTCTGTGTTACGTCCACAATGTTGTCTGTGTTACGTTAACAGTGGTGTCTGTGTTACGTCCACAATGTTGTATGTGTTACGTACATAATATTGTCTGTTACGTCAACAATGATGTGTGTGTTACGTCCGCAGTGTTGTCTTTGTTACGTCCACAATGGTGTCTGTGTTACGTGAACAGTAGTGTCTGTGTTACGTCCACAATGTTGTCTGTGTTACGTTAATAGTGGTGTCTGTGTTACGTCCACAATTGGTATTTTCCTTATTTTAAGATTCATTATGACATGTAAGCCTCTTCTTCATGTTGCTTTAATTACAACCATCTTGAAAATAAATATCTTATATCCTACGGATGTATTTCGGAATCATGGTGACATGTGTAAATACTTTTATTTCAGACAAGGGCGGTTGGGTAGCCTAGTGATTAAAGCGTTTGCTCGTCACGGCGAAGACCCGGGTTCGAATCCCTACATGGGTGCAATGTGTGAATCTCATTTCTGGCATCCCCCGACGTGATATTGCTGGAATATTGCTAAAAGCGGCTTAAAACTAAACTCACTCACTCATTTCAGACAAAAGATTAAATCCAGTAATTGATGATGGAACAGGAATTATAATAAAATGTTAGTTATCGCGTGAAGGCCACAATGGCAGGATGAACTGCGTGCTTGGCCACAGCTGTTTGATAACAAACTATACCATCTGTCACTGTTGTCTTACCCCCGATGTCGCACTGCATGGGTCGGAAGTTACCATCAGTATCACAGTCTGCTTGCCACTGGGTTGTCCCATATTGCATGGACATCATCTGCGAGTACGCCAAGTGCTGGCATTTGGTCTCAGATCCTAAAACGTCAGGTGATAGTTTAAAAAATAGTCCAGCACAAAAAGTAGTCCACCAAAAAAGTAGTCAAACACAAAAAGTAGTCCACACAAAGGTAGTCGAGCACAGGAAAAAGTAGTCCAACACAAACAGAAGTCGAGCACTGAAAAGTAGTCCAACACAAACAGAAGTCGAGCACAGAAAAGTAGTCCAACACAAAGGTAGTCGAGCACAGAAAAGTAGTCCAACACAATGTATAGTCGAGCACAAAAAGTAGTCCAACACAAAGGTATAGTCGAACACAGAAAAGTAGTCGAACAGTAGGGTATAGTCGAGCACAGAAAAGTAGTCCAACACAAAGGTATAGTCGAGCACAGAAAGTAGTCCAACAGAAGTGTATAGTCGAGCACAGAAAAGTAGTCCAATACAAAGGTAGTCGAGCACAAAAAGTAGTCAAACACAAAGGTATAGTCGAGCACAAAAAGTAGTCCAACACAAAGGTATAGTCGAGCACAGAAAAGTAATCGAACCCAAAAGGATGAAGGAGTAAGCATATAACTCCAAAACGTTGTGTTCCTCATAATATAGAAGTTGACATCCACTGATGTTACGGTTAATAAATTACCGTGACAAAAGGTTCAAAAGTCCCCTTTGAACCAGCAAAATAGAACACAAACAAGTCTAAAATATTCAATAATATATTGAGCAAACAATGAGCAAATTACAATGAATGACAATACATATATCTAGTAAATGCAATTGAGTCAAAAATCTAAAATATTGGGTCACAAAATTAAAACATTAACTCGCCAGAGTCTTGACATTTACAGTGAGAGCAGATATACTGATTGAAGGTAGATGATAATGGCAGCAGGCAAGCAGGGTCAATCTTGAAATGTTGAACAACGATGGGAGACAGATGTGTATAAATCCAGTCATGTGAAAAGTCCGTGTCACAACACAACAACCAGCCTTTATATAGCTCACAGTTCTCGAGCATTCTAGCAAAGCTAGGCTGTATCATTATCCACTCAGAACTTTATAGAAATCCGTCGAAATCGGTGGAAAACTCCACGGCATGATGAAAGCCGTAAATAAACAAGATTGCCAAGGGAGGCAACTCTGAAGCGCTATCAAAAAGGCGTGCCGCTAAAAATACTATTGCCATTGAACATATATGATGCGAGATTTGACCATAAAACCCACACTCAAAACTTTAAACATTGCGACCCATAATAATTATCACTTAATCAATGTGATTTTACAAATTACAAATTACAAAAAACACTCTCTCTTAACACTGACCACCGTTATTACAAAAGAAATCACTGGATTGCTAAGTCAATCCCGATTATTTACGGACCGCAGTCATATACATGTATATGTAGTTATAACGTGAGTTCCAAAACCTAGCAAAATTAGAAATTCATAAAGAAATTGGAAAACATTTTAATCGATATTTCTTACAGTCCTTACAACGTGCATCTGTACATGAACGCACGTCTTTCACACCGTAAACCTTTCACATGTAATTTGGGGTCAGGGGGGCCAGTATAGTGGTTAAAAAAGAACTGGATCCTGATCCCCTATACGGGTGCAATGTGTGGAGCACATTTCCGGTGCCCCCCAATAGTGATATTTGCTGGAATATTGCTAAAATGGGCATACCACCATAGTCACTTACTCACTCATGCATCTTGTGATACGACGACTAGAAAAAAAAAAGTTCATATTTGAATTTTGCTTACCGTCAAAGACAAAACGTTTGCTTTGTGTGTCTTTCACGCATTTGCCTTTCCCAAACAGATCCAGGAAGGCACTACCGACGGAGTCGCACACGAGACCCGTGTCACACTGGTCGTGCGGGGAGCGGCCCCGTCAACAGGGAGGACTTCTGGCATAAGTCTCCTTCTACCTAGATCAGGAAACATGTATATCATGAGTGGCATCAGAATAGTTGTTGTTATTGACAATTCATTCATCATTAAAGCAGCACAAGTTCTGTTGTGACCAGTGAAGATCTGGGTTAGAATTGTTCTTCAGCAACCCATGCTTGTCGTGAGCGGCGACTAACGATCAGGTGCTCAGGCTCACTGACTTGGTTGACACATGTCTTCATATGTTGCGTAGATCGATGCTCAAGCTGTTGATCCCTGGATTGTCTGGTCCAGACTCGATTATTTACAGAATGGCCCCATATAGCTGGAATATTGCTGAGAGCTGAGTTTTTACCACCGAAAGTACAATATTATTCAGTGTCATGGTTTGAATTCGTGATAAAAAACACACCTAAACGTCACCTCGAGTTAAACACACCTCACTTGGGTAGCCCAGTGGTTGAAGCGTTTGCTCGTAACGCCGAAGACCCGGGTTCGATTCCCCACATGGGTACAAAATGAGATGCTTATTTCTGGTGTCCCCCGTCGTGACATTGATGAAATATTGATAAAAGCGGCGTAAAACAAAACTCACTCAGTCACACTCACCTTGGCACAGGTGTCTGTACAGCCACAGAAGCCCCCTCCCTCGATGACGGACCCCGGGCAAGTGAGGGGCGTCTTCTCTACCCCATCACACATGTCAGGGGTACAAACAATAGCCCCCGCCGTCACGACGGCTGCCAGGAACGCTGCTAGACGGATCATCGTGTCAAAATACTGGACCATGTGCCCGACTTGTCTTTTATAAAGCAAGATACAGGCAGAGCAAGGAAGAAAATAGGCTTTCGGCTTATCACTTTGATTCAATTCTTTGTTAACATCTCAATGTTTTAATATTTGTTTTAACTTCGCAGAATTATTACAACAACATGTGTATTTGTTTCTTTGTTTGCTTGCTCTTTTACGCCACTGTTCAATTTGTATTGCGGCGACCTGTAAATAAGCTTTCGACCAGATAATCCAGTGACTAACAAAATGACCAGCGATCTAAGCAAATAAGACGCGATGACATGCACCAACCAGTAGGTAAGCCTTAAAACGTTATTCCGTTAGCCGTCTCTTATAACAACCATGGGTTGAAAAACAGTTGTAACTCGGACCTTAATGGGGAACAAGCTTAGTGACGACGATCTGTATAAAAGCTGATCCCAAACCACGTGAACCCGTGAAAGACGTCGATCAAATCGCGAAACCTTTTGAAACTAATCCCAAGTTCGAATCAAGCTATTGGCACTGGTAGAGGCACTCACAGCCTTGTCATTCAAAAGCCTATGCGAACACTGTTTCAACCAGTCCTCATTTGGTCATTACATGACCTTCATACCTCAGTACTTACTCTACATCGACAGGCATTGCCACCAAACTGGGCCTCCTTTCACAAAGCAAGGGGGTCGTAAGTCACTGAGGTAACTTTAGTGCAATGTTAAAGAATGGGAGTTAAGGTTAACCTTAGTAAAGGTTGCTTCATGAAAGGAGCCCCTGGTCGCTGAGCCCCAACATAGGTTAGTGGTGGAATCGGAATGAGGGGTGGGGGTTGGGGAAGAGTCTCGATCTTCGTTAAACGCGGTATCGACAACAAACAAGAGACAGCATGTCATTCAGATTACTCTGTACTTATATGTAGTTTTTTTCCTTTGCTGTTTTGGATGGTGTATTAGCCTAGTGGTTAATGCGCTCGCTCGTCACGCCCCAATCCGGGTTCCTCTCCTCACATGGGTACAGTATGTGAATTTCTGTTGTCCCCCGACGTGATATTGCTGGAATATTGCTAAAAGCCACGTCAAAACATCCTCACTCACTCTTTGTTGTTTAACGAAACACGCAGCATTCCTTATTTCCAGATACATGACGGCTGTCTGTAAACGATGTGACCAGACAATCCAGTGATTGACATCATGAGCAACGATGTACGCAATCAGGATACGATGACATGCATCAACCAAGTCACCAACTGATCCCGTTCGTCGCCACTTACACCAAGTATTGGTTGCTCAAGGCCAGTTGTAATCATGAGGGGCGGTGAGGTAGCCTAGGAGTTAAAGCGTTCGCTCACCATGCCGAATACCCGGGTTCCATTCCCCACATGGGTACAATGTGTGAGCCCATTTCTGTTGTCCCCAGCCCTGATATTGCTGGGATATTGCTAAAAGCGGCGTAAAACACAATTCATTCATCCACTGTAATCCTGATCTTTTTGGATGTGATAAGTAATGATATACAACAATGTGAATTGCACGCAATATCATATTGTGAGCTACGAAGCGATGTCTTTCGAATTAATAGCAGTAGAGCTTATGCGTCAGTATGATTTCACCTACTAATGGCCGAAACTTTACACAACGAATTGCTGTAGATATCACCGTTTCCAGTACATAACGATATGTGTCCTAAATTGCATGGTAAAACCGTATCTTCTCAGACTTGAAGAATAGAACAAACGACGGTGTAGAGTTCGTTTAGAAAACTGTCCCTCTTCATGAGACGCTGGAGACAACTTGAACAAATTGAGTCATTTATGTTACAAACCAAACACATTATGTCACATACTGAATACAGTGAATAAATATTTAATTCTGTAAACTAGATTTCTAACAAAGTCGCTAAAACGTCAGAATATTTGCAGCTAGAAGGTTTCGTTTTAGTGGCCTACAGTATTCTACGCGTAAACTGATTAGATAAGCCAAACATGCTAGAACTCTGACAGCTGGTCATTATACACGTCTCTGTCAGCAGATTGCATATTCGCTGCATCACGCAACAAATGCATATGTTCACTTCTAAAACTGACCCTGAGTGTGCTACAATGTGCTTGTGTGCTTAGGGTACACAGCTATGTGACTAGCTTCTACGCACATGCGGTGGACAGTTTACAATGAACACACGGTCGTAGATAAACGTATTGGTCGAAGTATAAAAACCATGACCTAGTCAACCAAAATATACTGTCGAAAGAAAGAAACGCGACGGTAAGCAATGAAGCAGGCGTGGCAGAGCGACTGTTGTTTTAGGACGCATTTATCAATATTTCTGAGTATGGGCCTAACGCAGTCACAGGAAGCAACAGTTTAACAATAATACAATAACAGCATAATAAGACAAGGATATATGTGATCGCACGTGGGCGGTAGAACGCCAAAATATTTCTCAAAAATTCTAAAATGAGATTATTACACTTTTGGTAACTGGTTCATTGCCCCATTATAAATTCCACATGGCGCGAAATGAGACACTGCATATCACACTAAATGACACACCACTGTCTATATGACGCGATCGGGATTGAGATTTTCTTAGTTTTGCTTGGAGGACCGTCTTTTTCAAAGTGGATTTCATGCATAGCTCATTTCCGCATTGTTTGGGAACATGAAACAGCAGGTCAGTCCAAACTAACGCTATTGTTATTATGTATTTTTCTACAAGAAGACAGCATTATATCACATTGGCTTCGTTCACGAAGCAGCCATATGTTCATGTAGAATACTTTTCATTGAACAATCCGGATGAAGCAGAAGAGAACATAGAGTAACGTCCCTTTGTAAAGTGAACTCCCGTATTGCTATGTTTCTCTCCAGAGTAACGTCCCTTTGTAAAGTGAACTCCTGTATTGCTGGGTTTCTCTACAGAGTAACGTCCCTTTGTAAAGTGTACTCCCGTATTGCTGGGTTTCTCTCCAGAGTAACGTCCCTTTGTAAACTGAGCTCCCGTATTGCTGGGTTTCTCCCCAGAGTAACGTCCCTTTGTAAAGTGAGCTCCCGTATTGCTGGGTTTCTCCCCAGAGTAACGTCCCTTTGTTAAGTGAGCTCCCGTATTGTTGGGTTTCTCTACAGAGTAAGATCCCTTTGTAAAGTGAGCTCCCGTATTGCTGGGTTTCTCTCCAGAGTAACGTCCCATTGTAAAGTGAGCTCCCGTATTGCTGGGTTACTCTACAGAGTAACGTCCCTTTGTAAAGTGAGCTCCCTTATTGCTGGGTTTCTCTCCAGAGTAACGTCCCATTGTAAAGTGAGCTCCCGTATTGCTGGGTGTCTCTCCAGAGTAACGTCCCTTAGTAAACTGAGCTCCCTTATTGCTGGGTTTCTCTCCAGAGTAACGTCCCTTTGTAAAGTGAGCTTCCGTATTGCTGGGTTTCTCTACAGAGTAACGTCCCTTTGTAAAGTGAACTCCTGTATTGCTGGGTTTCTCTCCAGAGTAACGTCCCTTTGTAAAGTGAGCTCCCGTATTGCTGGGTTTCTCTACAGAGTAGCGTCCCTTTGTAAAGTGAACTCCCGTATTGCTGGGTTTCTCTCCAGAGTAACGTCCCTTTGTAAACTGAGCTCCCGTATTGCTGGGTTTCTCCCCAGAGTAACGTCCCTTTGTAAAGTGAGCTCCCGTATTGCTGGGTTTCTCCCCAGAGTAACGTCCCTTTGTAAAGTGAGCTCCCGTATTGCTGGGTTTCTCTACAGAGTAAGGTCCCTTTGTAAAGTGAGCTCCCGTATTGCTGGGTTTCTCTCCAGAGTAACGTCCCATTGTAAAGTGAGCTCCCGTATTGCTGGGTTACTCCCCATAGTAACGTCCCTTTGTAAAGTGAGCTCCCGCATTGCTGGGTTTCTCTACAGAGTAACCTCCCTTTGTAAAGTGAGCTCCCGTATTGCTGGGTTTCTCTACAGAGTAAGGTCCCTTTGTAAAGTGAGCTCCCGTATTGCTGGGTTTCTCTCCAGAGTAACGTCCCTTTGTAAAGTGAGCTCCCGTATTGCTGGGTTTCTCTACAGAGTAACGTCCCTTTGTAACGTGAGCTCCCGTATTGCTGGGTTTCTCTTCAGAGTAACGTCCCTTTGTAAAGTGAGCTCCCGTATTGCTGGGTTTCTCTCCAGAGTAACGTCCCTTAGTAAAATGAGCTCCCGTATTGCTGGGTTTCTCTCCAGAGTAACGTCCCTTTGTAAAGTGAGCTTCCGTATTGCTGGGTTTCTCCCCAGAGTAACGTCCCTTTGTAAAGTGAACTCCTGTATTGCTGGGTTTCTCCCCAGAGTAACGTCCCTTTGTAAAGTGTACTCCCGTATTGCTGGGTTTCTCTCCAGAGTAACGTCCCTTTGTAAAGTGAGCTCCCGTATTGTTGGGTTTCTCTCCGGAGTAAGGTCCCTTTGTAAAGTGAGCTCCCGTATTGCTGGGTTTCTCTACAGAGTAACGTCCCTTTGTAAAGTGAGCTCCCGTATTGCTGGGTTTCTCTACAGAGTAAGGTCCCTTTGTAAAGTGTACTCCCGTATTGCAGGGTTTCTCTCCAGAGTAACGTCCCATTGTAAAGTGAGCTTCCGTATTGCTGGGTTTCTATACAGAGTAACGTCCCTTTGTAAAGTGAGCTCCCGTATTGCTGGGTTTCTCTACAGAGTAACGTCCCATTGTAAAGTGAGCTCCCGTATTGCTGGGTATCTCTCCAGAGTGACGTCCCTTTGTAAAGTGAGCTCCCGTATTGCTGGGTTTCTCTACAGAGTAACGTCCCATTGTAAACTGAGATCCCGTATTGCTGGGTTGCTCTACAGAGCAACGTCCCTTTGTAAACTGAGCTCCCGTATTGCTGGGTTTCTCTACAGAGTAACGTCCCTTTGTAAACTGAGCTCCCGTATTGCTGGGTTTCTCTACAGAGTAACGTCCCTTTGTAAAGTGAGCTCCCGTATTGCTGGGTGTCTCTCCAGAGTAACGTCCCATTGTCAAGTGAGCTCCCGTATTGCTGGGTTTCTTTGCAGAGTAACGTCCCTTTGTAAAGTGAGCTCCCGTATTGCTAGGTTTCTCTTCAGAGTAACGTCCCATTGTAAATTGAGCTCCCGTATTGCTGGGTTTCTCTACAAAACAGGATCCGGAACAACGGAATTCAGCTGGATGCATGGAATCGAGGAAACGATTGTGACTAACATCCTCAGTTTGAACCAAAATCGGAACACATGAAGAGATATTGAAGTTCACGACATTACTGCTTATACAGCTTAATGTAAATTGACTTTTTCAAAACGATATAATTTGTATGAATATGTGTGGAATAAAGATGTGTTTATTTCTGTGAAGTACACGAAGGTTGCGCGGCTAGTCTGGAGGACAGTCGACATGGCCATGGATCATGCCGGTTTGTATGTCTCCAGTGGTGGAGTTCACACAGAAACAGAAACCTGAAACACAAGTTGTCAAATTGTTACTATCATTGATGATGCTGATGACGATGATGATGCTGCTGCTGCTGATTTCATTTTTCATAGATGATTCTTTGTTGAGTACAGATATCATAAAAATACATCACATACACATAAGAACTGGTCACATTACCAATAAAATGAACACTTCTTGTATCAGTAATTGATCTCTTAAGCACAACACATCAGTGCCCAATACACGGTTAGTTTGACACCCGGTGTCTACGTACATCACCCCAGTATCGGTTTCTCAGGTGCTTTCTCTGATTTTGCTATGGAAATTGCGTCGGGGAATGTGGTGTGTGTGGAATTTTATCATGATATTGTGATAAATCATTATTATGATATTACTCAATACTTTTGTTAATCAAAAGCAATCTAGAAAGTTAGTTTAAAAGGCCTGTATCAAAGAATTTCTAATTCCAGACATAAAGTGTAACCGTGTTGTTACGTCATACATTACGTCAACAGTGGTGTCTGTGTTACGTCCACAATGGTGTCTGTGTTACGTCAACAATGTTGTCTGTGTTACGTCCACAATGTTGTCTGTGTTCCGTCCGCAGTGTTGTCGTTGTTACGTCCACAATGGTGTTTGTGTTTCGTGAACAGTGGTGTTTGTGTTACGTCAACAGTGGTGTCTGTGTAACGTCCACAATGTTGTCTGTGTTACGTCAACAGTGGTGTCTGTGTTACGTCAACAGTGGTGTCTGTGTAACGTCCACAATGTTGTCTGTGTTACGTCAACAGTGGTGTCTGTGTTACGTCAACAGTGGTGTCTGTGTAACGTCCACAATGGTGTTTGTGTTTCGTGAACAGTGGTGTTTGTGTTACGTCAACAGTGGTGTCTGTGTTACGTCCACAATGGTGTCTGTTGTTACATCAACAGTGGTGTCTGTGTTACGTCCACAATGTTGTCTGTGTTCCGTCCGCAGTGTTGTCGTTGTTACGTCCACAATGGTGTTTGTGTTTCGTGAACAGTGGTGTTTGTGTTACGTCAACAGTGGTGTCTGTGTAACGTCCACAATGTTGTCTGTGTTACGTCCACACTGATGTCTGTGTTACGTCCACAATGATGTCTGTGTTACGTCCACAATGTTGTCTGTGTTACTTCCACAATGTTGTCTGTTACGTCAATAGTGGTGTCTGTGTTACGTCCACAATGATGTCTGTGTTACGTCAGCAATGTTATCTGTTACGTCAATAGCAGTGTCTGTGTTACGTCAACAGTGGTGTCTGTGTTACGTTCACAATGTTGTCTGTGTTACGTCCACAATGTTGTCAGTGTTACGTCCACAATGTTGTCTGTGCTACGTCCACAATGTTGTCTGTTACGTCAAGAATGGTGTCTGTGTTACGTCAACACTGATATTTTCCGTATTTTAGGATGCATTTTGACATATAAGCCTCGTGTTAATGTTGCTTAAATGACAGCCATCTTGATAATATATATCTTATATCCCACGGTTATATTTCGGAAATCGTGGTGACTTTCATTCAGATAAAAGATGAAATCCAGTAATTTATAATGTAACAGGAACACTCATAAAATGTTAGTTATCACGTGAATGCCACAATGGCAGGATGAACTGCGTGCTTGACCACAGCTGTTTAATAACAAACCATACCATCTTTCACTGTTGTCTTACCCGAGAAGTTGCATTGCAATGGCGTGAAGTTACCATCGGCATCACAGGCTGGCGTCCACTTGCTGGGCCAATTTCGCATGGTCATCATCTGCACGTAGGCCATGCGCTCACATTTGGTCATCGCAGATCCTAAAAGGTCAGGTGATAGTTTAAGATAAGCAGCGCCCGATGTCGCACAAGTGTGGAGAAGAATATGAATACTTCAGAAACCCACAAACACTGATAAACAATATTCTGACGTCACAGATGAAAGGAGAAGAATATGAATACTTCAGAAACCCACAAACACTGATAAACAATATTCTGACGTCACAGATGAAAGGAGAAGAATATGAATACTTCAGAAACCACAAACACTGATAAACAATTTCTGACGTCACAGATGAAAGGAGAAGAATATGAATACTTCAGAAACCCACAAACACTGATAAACAATATTCTGACGTCACAGATGAAAGGAGAAGATTATGAATACTTCAGAAACCAAAAAAACACTGATAAACAATATTCTGACGTCACAGATGAAAGGAGAAGAATATGAATACTTCAGAAAACCACAAACACTGATAAACAATTTCTGACGTCACAGATGAAAGGAGAAGAATATGAATACTTCAGATAATCACATGCACTATCACCAAAGTTCCCCTCCTAAAGGGACAATTTCTGCGTTAAAATCCTTCATTTCTTCATTTCACCTTACACCATGTGTACAATAAAACGGAGATCCCAACGCTCAACCTACTCTTTAACGTGTCCTTGACACAGGTACCCGCACCATAAACCCCAATGTGTTCCTCCTTGCAGAACAACCCTGTGTCACATGACCCCACAGGTATAATACCGTTCTCGTAACGGGCCTGACACACCTCTCCCTCAGCCTGAATGTAGAAGTGAGTGAGTGTTTAGCAAATTGAAAGATATGGAAACATCTTGAAAAAGACTCCAAGAGCAGGCTTCTGAAAATAGAAATTTTGTCGACATTAAGAATACTTAAAATTGTAAACATTCAAGCCAATCCTTTGAATGTTTGACAATCCACATTGTAATACTACCACTTGTCTCTGTGTAAACAGTGGTAGTCTTTGGGATTTTGGTTGATCATTGTATGGATATTTATTAGGGGTGGGTATTGCAGGGAATTTTCGTATTGCGATATATTGCGATGCGAAAGCATGTATTGCGATATGTATTGCAATATATTGCAAGAATTATTTTTAACAAAAAAACCTACTTATAGTCGAGTTAATGATTGATTTGTAAAGCAAGAACACAACAAAATCACAATGCTTGATTAGGCTTTAAAAAAACTTTTAATCATGGCAAAATATAAATGTAAATAATGTTTGTCACAAATGAAACAAGGAAAGGAACAATTTAAAAAAAGGAAATATCCGAAGATTTCCGAATGCATGTCAAAATACCGGTTTTCGAACAGCGTATCGCAATATGTACCGTTTTCATGTCTGAAGCGGCAAATAACGGTAAACCGGTTATATTGCGCAGCCCTAATATTTATACAGCTTTGAAATCCAGTAAAAAAGGGAAGTGGGCATGTATTAATATTTTTTTCAAGTACATAAAAGCTGTTACAATGTTTGGTTGAGATTAATCCGTCAGTCGCATAATACACACATCAAAACGTTGCGGAAAAGATGGACATGTAACAGAGAACAAATACCTTGGCACAGATGTCAACATGTAACAGAGAACAAATACCTTGGCACAGATGTCAACACACCCACAGAATCCTCCCCCCTTGACTATGGAACCAGTGCACTTGAGGGGAACTTGCTTCACATAGGCGCACAACCCAGGAATACATATAATGGCATTTGCTGCCCCCCAAAATACCACTAAAACAGCAAACTGGAGCATGGCGTCTTGTCCCACTCGTCTCATGGCGTCTTGTCCCGCTCGTCTCATGGCGTCTTGTCCCACTCGTCTCTTGAGTTCTGTGGTAATCTTATCTGAAGTTGGCGATGTTTGTTTATCACATTCACTGCATGTGACAAAGTGTCGTTCTTTTCGATTTCTTTCTGAGTAAGATAGGTAGGTTTGTAGCCAACTGGATAAAGCCTCTTATCGCCTCGTCTCAGTGCTAGTAGCTGACCTAACCCCTAAGCGTTCGTTCGCTAATTAAAAGATTGCATCGTGCAGTTCAGTAATATCAGTATGTGGATTCTTTGTTCGAAATCATCAATGTTTAACTTAGTACCAAGGAACCAAGCAGTTCTGGACAATAGGCGGGACTTTTTGTAGCGAATGGACCTCAGTATCGGGCTTTTGACGCTTAATATTGAATTTAGATCTGGAAAACCATGGCAAAACATTGACGTTTTAATAATAAAGTAAGTCAAAGTGCAGTTCCTTCGAATGTTTCATTGAAAAAAACCCAAAATCAGCATTCTTAATATCTCCGATGCGTTTTTATACTTCTCATCAAAAGTGTAAACTCACTAGTGTAAATATAGGCACTTACTCTAGGCAACTGTTCTGAAATAAATGTTTCAAAATATGCCACACTGTTTAAAGGAACTGTTTACACGTGAACTGATGTATTGTAAAACAAATTCGTAACGTTGAAAAGATTATTGTCATGAGTATACAGTAAATGATAAAAATCAGTGACAATTGGCGATTTCGTAACAAAACTTTACACCACAACGCAGCTGTTCACATGCACGATATTTGCACATGCCTTTCAGCAATTTGATGCATGATCCTCGTGCAATTCATCTGCATAAAGTTTGCAGTTGGTTCGCCCAAGTTAGTGGAGAAATCAATCTTCGATGTAACCATATATATACTGAACACCAAAAGAAACGCAAATCTCGCTTTTTGTCAAGTTTGTGAATAGAAGACAACCAAAATCATGTCCTATCATTTATTCTATAGACAACACTGTCAATTTAACAGCTGAAAGTTGCTGTTGACATTGAATTGCAATAAGTTCAAATTGATCACAGTCCGTCAAATGGAGATACCCCTGAACGGTAAAAGGGACAGTCTCTTTAGTCGCGTGTTTGGCCACCTTGAGCTTGCACACAGGCCTTGCAATGTGGCCTCACTGAGTTCATTAGAGTCTGAAAGAATGCCTGAGGCAATTGGTTCCGCTCAAACTCCAATCTCTATTCCAACTGTGCAAGTGTGAGTGGCTGTCTACCAATCCTCCGTCCAATTTCGTCCCAGAATGTTCAATGGGAGCCATATACGGGGAAAGAGACGGCCATGGAAAAACGTTAATGTTGTTTTGAGCCAGATAATCCATCGACACCCCTGCTGTGGGAGGGCTGCAAACGTCGCTGGCGTTGTTGGCGTGTCAAAATTGGCCCCACATATGGCCTTTGGCAGTGGATTCCAGCAGCCCGAAGACGACGCCTAATCGTATCGCTGGACACTGCTCCCCTTGACCCATGAACTAAAGCTGCTGTTACTGTTGCTGCTTGAGTTCGGTTCCTTAGATGAGTGACCCGGATGAACCGATCTTGCGCATGAGATGTCACTCGTTGCCGTCCGGTACGGGGACGATCAGCAGCAACTCCGGTTTGCTGATGACGTTGAGCAAGTCGTGTAATAGTGGTAAGATGACAGCCCAATTGTCTAGCTACAGCGGTTGCGGAGCTACCTCCGTGCAACTTTACATTGGCCATTCCTCTCTGCTCAGTCGTTAGTCTAGGCATCGTTTGTGTGGTGTGTACATCTCCTAGTGTCAATACTGAACTGTTTTTTTGACACAAACCTTTATAAAAAGATACCTCAGAGTGAAATGCATGCTTTTCATCCAGAACCGTCGATGCACGTGCTAAAATTATGGTTTTGCTGCACTGTTGGTGTGTTTGTGCGAATGGTTCGTATGGATGTCAAATTGCATGACATCATCTCATCTTGGATCATTACATCACTTTACCATGAATGTTCCATAAACATGAACGCTTACTTTCATGAGATTTCATTTTTCGAAACTTGCGTTTCTTTTGCTGTTCAGTATATATACATAACATATAGTGAGTGTTTTAAGTGAGTCTAAACTTTTGAAGAGAATATATTTTGAAAAAATATATGTATGACTGAAACATTTTAGCCTCCGGGTATATGCCAAGGCTGGATGTGTGGTTCGTCTGGTTTGACTGGAGATGTTTCGAAACATTGTATTTAATGCTGAAAATATGCTGTGAATACCCACACAGCTTGTACCTGGATGGTATGATTATGAGTGAGACATGGAAAGAATGATATTTTATTTCTGCAAGGTACATGAAGGCTGTGTGGTTATTGAGAGGGACAGTTGACCTTCCCAAGGACCTTGCTTCCTTGCATAACTCCCATTGAGTCCACACAGAAACAGTGACCTGCAACAAACGTTGTGAAATTGTTATTACCTTGTTGAGGATGACAACTCTTATTTGCATCATTACGAAAACTCATCGTCGTCATCGTCGTAATCGTCATCATCGTCGTAATATGGCGGTACATATCATAATAGCATATTGTTATAAAATTATACAATTGTGAGAAATTGTTTCTGTATAGATTCACTTAAAGTTTTTGAATTGTGTTTTAACAATAATTAGTTATCAGGAGTATATTACTGTCTAATGCAATCAGTAGTGTGGAGGTTTCTATATTTGGATGTTTTAAAGTGTAATGTGATATCTTCTAGAACAGCAAACGACTAATGTAGTATGGCACTGAACGTTCCACAAAGTTTCTCGACTATACAAGGGGACAAGCGCCCCACAATACATCAAAACCAGTGCTTCTACCAATGGATGTTTACTAACTCAGTAATCTTAAACTATACTGACAATATACTGATAGGCAGTACTAGTACTAGTCATATTCACAGGCCCTCGTGTCTTTGCGAGGGTTAAAGGTTTTGTTTTAAAACAAATTCCGATGATCCCCGACTCAAAATGCTTCACATTACGATCATGATTTATTGTACCCCGAAGCGTTTGGAGTCGGGGGGTCATCTCAATTTATTTATTTATCTATTTTATTTATTTATTTATTTACTTAAAATCTTTAATCGTCGCAAAGAGACGAGGACCAGTGGACATATTCCTAACTCAAACTAAACTTACATATTCGTTCAATAATATACTCATGCCAATAATGGTTGTCACTCCCTCCGCACCCCCAATAATAATACCCCATACCCCCTCTCCAATTAAAAAATTGAAGGTGGTGACAACCATTATTGGCATGAGTATATATAGAAATTAGATTGACATTTGGGAGACAATATTGTGGTTTCATTTTAGATTACGTCTGAGCATTCTCCCACATTGAAACAGAGACATATTTAGTAATTAACGGAGGATCTGGATGAATATTAAAGTATTACTTGTCAGAGAATCAGTGAGAAGGTGAACAGCATGTTAAAACAGGGAACGGTATGTTTGTGGAGAACCTATACCATCTTGGCTTAGATCTGTTGTCTCACCTGAGAAGTCGCACTGCTGAGGTGTGAAGTTACCATCGGCGTCACAGGTTGGCGTCCACTTGCTAGCGTAAACAACCATGGTTATCAACGACGCCATCCTCATCTGCTCACATTTAGTCTTCGTCGATCCTAGAAAGTCACGTGACCGTTCACATAACACTACAAAACTGAGTGAGCGAGTTTAATTTTACGCCGCACTTAGCAATATTCCATTTACATGGCAGCGGTCTGTAAATTATTGATTCTGGACCAGACAATTCAGTGATCAACAGCATGTGCATCGATCTACACAATTGGGATACGATGACATGTGTCAAGCAAGTCAGCGAGCCTGACCACCCGATCCCGTTAGTCGCCTCTTACGACAAGCATGGGGCCATTGAAGACCAATTCTAACCCGGATCTTCACGTGTAACTATAAAACTAGTCTAACACGACAAACACTGACGTCACAGAAGACGGGAGAAGAATACTTCATGATACAGTGTTGTACAGATGAAATAAGATAAATCATATAAAAACAGTATTTCACAAAATTATTCATAAACGTGGGACAATAAATACTATATTCAAAACCTATACAACTGCCTTGGCCAACAGGACATTGTTGGCTAAGTCAAATTTTTGCGAACCCACAGCGCCCATCTACGTTAATAAGACGTCAGAGTATATCTGTGGTATATATCACATGAGGCACAGTGACGTCTACTGAAGACAGTGTACAGATGACTCGACAGCGACGGTTTATACCTAAATCTCATACACTCGATGTTTTTATGCGAACACTATGAGACACCGTTTTAGACTATGTCACCCGTAGCCTCTGTTTGTACGGGAAGATCAAATGAGATTGTCAGGATTTGTGACTCGGTACAAGACAACACTGGATTTATACTCTTAAAAAAAAAGAAACTTGACATAGGACAAATTTGAATTTTAGGAAAATATTTGAAACAAACCAATCCATGCTGAATCCCATCATGTGGGGGAATAGTTGCCGACGACAAAATATTTGAAAAAAGAAACGTTTAACAAAAACGTTTAGTTACACTCATGTCTGTAGTGAGTCTCTAAAACGCACCCTACATGAAATGCACGAGCATCATGAAATTATGTATCACACTGAGCTGAAGCCTATGACTGTAGGAACCGCCTCCGTGGTGTAGTGGTTAGAGCGTCCGCCCAGAGAGCGGAAGGTCGCGGGTTCGATCCCCGGCCGCGTCATACCAAAAGACGTTAAAATATGGAACTTGTTAGTCCCTGCCTGGCGCTCGGCATTAATGGGTACAACAAGGACTGGTCGGTTCGGTGACAGTATAATGTGTCTGAGTGGGGTATTCATGCTTCACTGCGGCATGGTATCTCAGTGGGCTAGCACTATAAAACCAGCTTCAGTCTGGGCTAGTACAAGCAGCCGCACATACCCATACACACGCATGCACGTCGTCATATGAGCGAAATATTCTCAAGCACGACGTAAAACCCAATTTCACCTTACCCGACCCATGACTGTAGGCTTTAAAAAGCCACATCAGTGATACCCCGCATGCATTGCTTTAAGCCACTATAGACGACAAGAGAATGAAAAGGCTGATAGAAGCTCAACGACACAACGCCATCGGCCGTTACAAGGACGGACATCGCAGCATGATGTGGCTAGGCACTTCAGCGTGTCCAGACAGACCAGCTGAAACCTATGGACCCGATACAAAAATACTGGGAGTGTTAATGACAGACCCAGGTCAGGTCGACCTGGAGTTACCACCGCCGCCCAAGATCGCCCATCCGGTTAAGACATTTTCGTTGAAACACCACGGCCGCATCATCCACAACAATCCAAATCCCTGGCCTGCTCCGAATCTCCGACCAGACAGTGCGCAATTGCAACTGGCTATGGAAAGCCAGACTTTTTGCCAGAAGACGACTTCAACGTCACGTCGTTCTCACCATCAACGTGATCTTTGGAGCATGGCAATGCTCGACCTCACTCTGCACGTATTTGACATGTCTTCCTCCAGCAAAACAATGTTCAGTTATTACCTTGGCCTTCTCGATCACCGGATTTGTCACCCATTGAACATCTATGGGATACTCTTGATCGACGCTTCCGCCAGCGTCATGCGCCACCTCAGACACTACAAGAACTGCGCACAGTACTTCAGTAAGAGTATCAAAACATTCCTCAAGACAGCATTCGGCTTCTCCTTTCTTCTATTTGTCACCGCTGCCAAGCTGTTATCGATGCTCATGGTGGTCATACCAGATACTGACATTTTACTCTGACTAATTGGCTTTAATAACCCTCTGTGGTTGTACCAAACACTTTCTGGATAATCATGTTTTGGAAATTTGTCAAGTGATGATTTTACTGTAACTGTGCAATGATGCCATGTTTGAATCAGCTGTATGCATTCAGTAAGTAAACTCCAAAACACATGTCAAGTGTCTGTTTTTGAAGAGTATACTTCATGATGTTAGTCCGATATACTTTATATGGGCAGTCGTATTGGTTGAAATATTGCCGGTACATTGTTACACAATAAACATAGAAACATGAACTCAAAGGTACACATAACTGTATCCACATTTAGCATACAAATACATTCTCAAACAAACTGCATATATATGGTGTTCACAAATGTTCCTCTGTCAGAAACATTTGACAAGCCTGTTAGCCGTGCTTTACACCGAAGGCAGCATTACACTGACCAATAGATAGCTATCTATCATCAACGTGCCCTGACAAGCGTGGCTTCTGGTGTCTAGTGACCTTAGGCATAGCGCCTGGACACAAATCGCAAAGCAACGGTGCTCACGGAGAGTCCTTCGATGGGTGACCGGATTTGGCAGCTTGACTCCTGAGAGTGAAGCTGCAGTGTATGGGAGATGCACTGACTAGACTCATCTGTAACGCAGCGTTTCGAGGCACGAACATAAAAGATCACCATTAAATTTTGTTGGCTTACAAACCTCAACGAACCCGACCGACGTATGTCTATCCTCTCGAAATGTACTCGGGGAAGACAAGTGTTCTTCCTCGACGGACGATTTGTACTGTAGAGCCTTGAAACTATCAATCCTTTGATTTGCATTATAAGAAATAGTTCCTTTCAGACAGGGCTTCGCCATGGCAAACAATTTATGAAATGGTAAAGTTTTCAGAAGCTGTGGACGCAGGGTCTGAAATCACGTTTTGTTGACTTGATATTGGTGTGGAATAAAACAGAGATCCTAACACGCAACTTACTCTTGGATGTGTCCTTGACACAGGTGCCCGCACCAAAAATAGCCATCTGGTCCTTCTTGCAAACCAAACCCGTGTCACAAGACCCCTGAGGTATTATCCCGTGCATGTACGTGGCCTGGCACACCTCTCCCGCAACCTGAATGTAGAGTGAGTGAGTCTATAATCTTCATATATGTTGAATGAGTAAGTTTTAACATATGTGAGGTCAAAATGAGTTGAATGAATGTGGAAATGTTCCACCATTATGTGGAAATATCTTGAAAAAGACAGTACTAGACTTATAAAAAAATAAACTATGTCGACATTAAGAGAAGCACCTTGACTTTCTGCTAGATAAGCGATTGTACTCAACACGAGGTTAAACATTTGGCGAAACTACATATTGACATTGTTATTCAAGTCTTGCGATAACCGGGTAAGAAATACAATGATACAGTACAACCAGAAATTATTGAGAATTTAAGGATTGTAATTTTCTATATTTTGTTCACTCATTACTCACGTATTAATGTGAATATTAGCAACCTCCTTCAATTCTAACCTCCTTCCTTTGTTTTTAGAAACAAGAATACCAAGCCGCCTCCTGTCACCGACAGTGAATTTTCTGGGCCTACCTGCGCCTCCCTGGTACTCAATGCCATATCCATTTGCAATATTTTTCAAAACACAATAAACAGTGGACAAAGGGATGCCTGTTCTACTTGAAATCACTTTAGCTGATCTGATGTCCTTGTTATAATACTCTAAAATCAACTTCCTCTTCTCTAAATCATCCATACTGAGGATCACTGAAAATGTCGTCTGCTAGCAAGTAAACAAAGGGGGATAACTCTTCACAAAATCATGAAAAGGGATTAACGGAGTTGTCTCTCTTGAATGAAACCAAGCACTTGATAGCTGGTCACGGTTGATTATACTAGAAATCTAATTAAACATATTCCTAAAATTCTCCATAATTTCTGGTCATACTATAACTAGTCAGTAAAACTATCATATCATGACCCACACAGTATTACATGGCGAGTATATAACAGCTTTTACAATATTGCTTTTAAGAACAATTCACCATTCGCGTAAGACACTCATCAAAGCGTTGTGTCAACCGATGGACATATTCAAGACAGAACATACCTTGGCACATGCATCAGAGCAGCCACAGAATCCTCCCCCCTTGATGATAGAACCAGCGCAGTTGAGGGGAGCTTGCTTCACCTGGGAACACAACTCAGGAACACAAACAATGGCATTCGCTGCCCCCCAAAATACCACTAAAACAGCAAACCGCAGCATGATGTCTTGTCCGACTCGTACCAAAGAATAGCACTTGACCTATGTTGATATCTTATCTCAAAAAGCCGATGTTTGGTTTTCACATTACCTGCACGTGACTTGAACCTGCTGTCCCTGTGTGTTTCTGTCTCGTGTCTTTCTGTGGTTATACGTGACTTGGTTTGCCTAGTGGACAAGGCCCAGACTCACCTCGACTTAGACGCGTGTTCGGTTTCCGTATGCATGGTGCATAGGTAACAGGTAGCCTTGTGTCTGGAGAGGCCATTTAAGAGTGCTACATTCAGTTCGCCATATTTTAGTGAAATTATCCAGTTTCTACATTCTGGACTAAGACTTGTGTACAGATTGGTACTTCCCAAGCAGTACTGGTCTGGGGGCTGGGTTTCCGGGCTAGAGGCGTCCTCGCTATTAGGCTATTGAACTCTCAATATTGAACTTACTATCCCTTTGATACATACGAGTACTAGTATATGCTTTACGGTTTATGCCAAGAGGCTGAAGACTACATTTGAGGTTATTGAAATTTATATAGGAGATATTCGAAACATTCTACATGTATTTGGACATAAACGTGAGCTATATTTCAAAAAGAACATTTTAACAGGTTTTGTTTGTGTGAATATGAGTTAAAAACGCAGGAAGATACGTTTATTTCTGTAATGTACATGAAAGTCGTGTGGTTATTGAGAGGGACAGTTGACCTTCCCAAGGACCTTGCTTCCATGCATAACTCCCATGGAGTCCACACAGAAACAGTGACCTGCAACACATGGTGTGAAACTGTTATTGTCTTGTTGAGGAGGATCACTGCTATGAATATCAATAGTGTTCAGTGCCGATCTGTTCATTGGTCAGTCGTCAACAGACCAGGTTTCTATGCTTAAAGACTGAACTGGTCAAGTTGCAATGACATCATGTTACCAAGTCAGAGGCTGGACTTAAATTCATCTTGCATTTTTCTGCCGATGACTGACTGTTGTTTCAAATGCATATTCTTACACAATATCTAGAATAAATGACTGTATTTTCAGAATCGATCGGGTACCTCCGCACGTTTTAGCTAATAAAGATGGACTTTATCAATTCAAGGTTATGCCAATTTGTATCCAGATTCACCATATAGTTTGAATCCTCAGAAGATGACTGACTGACTGAGTTTGGTTTTACGCCGCTTTTAGCAATATTCCAGCAATATCACGGCGGGGAACACCAGAAATGGGCTTCACTCATTGTACCCATGTGGGGATTCGTGACGAGCCAACGCTTTAACCACTAGACTACCCCACCGCCCCATCAGAAGATGAACTGCTTAAACCCAGTTTGAACCATTTGGGGAGGACCTACACCGCCTCAGACTATAACTGCTGTCTCACCTGAGAAGTCGCACTGCATGGGTGTGAAGTTACCATCGGCGTCACAGGTTGGCGTCCACTTGCCGTCGTAAACAATCATGGTCATCAACGACGCCATCATCATCTGTTGACATTTAGTCTTGGTGGATCCTAGAAAGTCACGTGATACTTTCAGGTAACACTTCACATGGGTCAAACTCGAAAAACACTGTAACATATGTTATATATGGGATTACACTTTCACCACGGTTTCCGCGTTGGCTGAGTGGGTTAGACTGCTGGCTTTGTGTATTGACGATTAGGTGCCTGTCTCTGAGCGTGTGGGTTCGACTCAAGCATGGGACTTTAACCCAACAAACGTACAAGAATCTGAATTTTCCTGAGAAAGTGTAATCCCAAATATAACACGTTACATTTGACCACTTTCTAAATGATACTGTGCATTCGAAAAACACTGCCTGGTGCCATGCACGCCATATCCACATTTGTCAGTTTCCACTAAACATTTTTCTTGTCGTCAGTCTATTTGCTTGAATTGAGATAAATGAAAAATATATTTTCGAATGGATTTAGCCGAGCAGAGTTTTATGGAATCAACAGGAATATTGCTGTTTGTTGTTTAATGCTACACTCAGCTACATATGGTGGCGTTCTGTAAATAATCGAAACTGGACCAGACACTCCAGTGATCAACAGCATGAGCATCGAACTAAGCAATTGGGATACGATTACATGTGTCAATCAAGTCAGCAAGCCTGACCACCCGATCCCGTTAGTCGCCTCTTTTGACTAGCATGGGTTACTGGAGACCAATTCTAACCCGGATCTTCACGGGTCATCAACAGGAATAACAGAACACGTTGTTTGAACAGGTGTCGTAAGATATTTAACAAACACTTTCGGCGAGACCTCAATTCACGTTCTGACAAGACACCCTACACCATGTGTACAATGAAACAGAGACCCAACATCAACCTACTTTTCGGCGAGTCCTTGACACAGGTGCCCGCACCAAACGTGTGGGGCTTGCGGCAAACGAGGTCTGTGTCACACAACTCCGCGGGCATCACACCGTGACTGTAAGTGGGATAACACGAATCTCCCTCCATCTGAATGTAGAGAGAGAGCGTAACGGGGTGAGTGGGGTGGATGGGTGACTCAGAGAGCGAGTAACTGACAGAAGGGGTGGGCGAAGGTCGTGTGAGTGAGTTGGGTAGGGTGGGTGGAGTTTTGTTAGAGCGAGTCAGTGAGTGAATTTGTTTGTGGGTGAATGGGCGTGAGTGAATGGATGAGTGCTGTATCGTGTGTGTGCGTGGCTATGTGGATAAGTGAGTGAATGGTGGGTGGGTGCGTTGGTGGGTGGGTGTGAATGAATGGATGAGTGTGATAGTATGTGTATATATGTGTGTGCGTGTCTGTGTGGATGAGTGAGTGAGTGAGAGTGAGTGCGTGGGTGTGTTAGTGTGTGTTTATGTGTGTGTGTGTGGCTGTGTGTATGAGTGAGTGAATGAGTGGGTGGGTGTGAGTGAGTGGATGAGTGAGTTTGAGTGAATGAATGAAGAATTAAGTCTGACAGAGTGACAGTCGTTGTATACACCTTGGCACAGACATCGGTACAACCACAGAATCCTCCTCCCTTGATGACAGAGCCAGCGCAGTTGAGGGGAGCTTGCTTCACCTGGGCACACAACTCGGGGAGGCATACACCGGCATTTGCAGCCCCCCAAAATACCACTAAAACAGAAAAACGGAGCATGGCTTCTTGTCGGACGAGTCACAAAGAATAGACCCAGATCAGTTAGGCAATCTTATCTGAATAAGGCCACAGCGATTTTTGTTTTTCGCAATCACAGTTCTTATATGAGCCTTGAACCGCAAGCGTCACTTTCTGAGTGTTTAGTCTTCATTCGTCTCACCAAACCCTGGATTTGATTTTCAGCAGGCATGGTGCAATTGTTGATGTTTCCTGGCGAAGAGCTGATTGTGGTAAAAGCAGATCTCTGGAATAAATCTGATCATATTAACTAAAAGTATTAGTTTCATTTTCACTGGTTTCGGGATAAACATCTTGCATGCAGGGTTTTTCAAAACTTGAACATGAACAGACTTGCATGGGTAATGATCCGCTGTCTGTGAACGCTGACAAAGGTTCAACCAACTCAGCCTTTCAGACCGTCCTCTCTGTAGACTCATCCCGTGTCAAGCATCGGGCGCTCGGAACTAATCCAGTGTCACCAACGGCATTGAAATGTCAATGAAACGTTTCCTCATTTTTCTATGCGAATTTCGTAGTTTACGAACGGTTTATAATTGTAACGCCTCTGCACAGCCATTAAGTATCATTTGCTTGAGGATGTGAAAAGCGTTGCGTAAATCGTTCGCTCGTACAACACAAGAGCCGAGTGTTTTATTCCTCAAGTGGATATAATGGTGGTGCTAAGAGTCCGAACTGTGATATTACTGGTACGTTCTTGAATATCACTGAAATCAGCCCTGATTCAAACTTCAAAGTACTTGGATTTAAAAATAAAATACATGGATATTTGACACTGCTCAGCATCTGTCAGTAACCTTGACCTTCGGCTTATCCGGAAGCAAAAAGAAGAAGGAGGTGACACTGCTGTCGGTAGTAAGGATGTATTGTCCGAAACTGAAACAAAGATTTGACTTCTGGCAGCCTTTTGAATGGCTTAGTGAGACTGATGTCATGTGACCAAGACACAACTTCTATTGCTAGATAAAGAATAAAATGCCAGTATCTGAGACCCGAGAACCGTTCCCATGTTGTGACCAATGTTTGAACATACCTAGGTCCCGTCAAGATCCGGGACAGAACTGGTCATCAGCAACCCATGCTGGTCGCAAGATATGACTTGCGGGATTAGGTTGTCAGATTCGTTGACTTGGTTGATGCATGTCGTCATGTCCCAAATCGTAGATTGACGCTCGTGCTATCAATCACTAGGGGTGGGTATTGCAGAGAATTTTCATATTGCGATATATTGCGATGCAAAAGCATATATTGCGATATGTTTTGCAATATATTGCAAGAAGTTTTTTTAAACAAAAATGTACTTATAATCGAGTTAATGCTTGATTTATAAAGCAAAAACACAACAAAATCACTATGCTTGATTAAGCTTTAATAAAAACTTTCAATCATGACAAAATAAAAATGTGAGTAATATTTGGCACAAAGGAAACCAACAATTTAAAAAAAACAGAAATATCCGAAGTATGAGTGTTACGAAGTTTTCCGAATGCTTGTCAATATACCGGTTTTCGATCAGCGTATCGCAATACGTATCGTTTTCATATCTGAACCGGTAAAAACCGGTAAACCGGTTATATTGCGCAGCCCTATCAATCACTGGAATGTCTGGTGTTCATTCGACTATTTATGCTGTCGTGTAGTTGGGATGTAGTTGCGGCGTCAGACAACAAACAAGACAAGATTATATGTAGGCCAGAGGGGGAACTGCATGTGTACCATTTCCTTCCTTGTTCTCACTGACATAGGTTCGGTGGGGTAGCCTAGTGGTTAAATCGTTCGCTCGCCGTGATGAAGACCCGGGTTCGATTCCCCACATGGGTACAATGTGTGAAGACCATTGCTGGTGTTCCCCGCTGTGATATTGCTGGACTACTGCAAAGGCGGCGTAAAACTAAACTCACTCACTCACTCTCACTGACATATTCATGTGACGATAACAACCACCTGTTGTCTAGTGGATAGAGCGTCTGCCCAGGGAACTGGAAGTCAGGGTGTCTATCTCTGCCACACCAACATACGTTAAAATGTGGTGCTTGTTGTTACTTTGCCCGACGGACAGCATAAACGGGATGGCACAAGGATCGGAAAACTGCGAGTTTGACTTGGATGTGCATGTACTGTGGCTTGTATATCCGTGGACTAGCACAATAAAATCATCGGTAGTCGGGACTTAAACAAGGAGACACACGTGCATTTACACGTGCAATACTCTTGAAAGCGACTTTATACCCCATTTCAATTCTGATTACACAATGCCACAAATAAATAAAAAAGTACTAGAATCTGTACTTTGCTAAGAATGTGTAATCCCAAATATAACATGTTTCCATTTCAATTTATCGATCGGATCATGCAGTGTGGTTGGGGAACGAAGTGTTTCTGTTTAAGTTTTAAAGCAAATTTAACTTACAAAATAAATACATGTAGCCGTGTTTTTTAGGTGTAGGCTAAACGCCAGTACAGTTGTATATATATTGTTTGGTGTTGGTTGTTTTTTATCATATGAAATATCGCAAACATAGAGACCCGTAAAGATCCGGATTAGAATTGTTCTTCAGCAACCCATGCTTGTCGAAATTGGTCACTAACGGGATCGGGTGGTCAGGTTCGCTGACTTGGTATCCCAATTGCGTAGATCGATGCCCAGGATGTTATCACTGGATTGTCCACACTCGATTATTTACAGACCGCCTCCATATAACTGAAATATTGCTGACAGCCACAAACCAACCAAAGCTAACTAATAATTCATATATTTTCAACTGATCAAACATGATAAAATCAGCTGAGAGGTATAGTATCTTTTGCTCCTCTGTATATATTAGTTGGTGGACGGATATTAAAGGATAGATAAATAAGTAGATGCTAATGCTGATCAATGACACTTGACACTTGACTGACTGACTGAGTTTGGTTTTACGCCGCTTTTAGCAATATTCCAGCTACATCACGGCGGGGGAACACCAGAAATGGGCTTCACACATTGTACCCATATGGGGATTCGAACCCGGGTCTTCGGCGTGACGAGCCAACGCTTTAACCACTAGGCTACCCCACCGCCCCTCATGACACTTGAAGAGCTGCAGGCACGGTACTGATGGCGAATACGCGTGGTCTTAAAGAATCGTAGAATTTCAGGACACGCCCTACAAAACATTTAGCTTAAAGGCAAACACTGCTACGTACGTAATTGTTTGTTTGGAAGGTCTGCGATTAGACCCACGTGGGATAGCCCCAAGACATGTACACACCTTCTTGCATAATGTCGACTTCAAAGGTGCGCTGAAACCTACCTATCACAGTATCTACCTCACCCCCCTCCGGGCTACCTGGTGACACAGGATGACCCTGTGAGAGGTTTTAGTGGGTACCATATTTTGTTATATGAGTGAAATGGTTAATGCGCTTGATATTATCTGGGTTATGAATAAATCCGCATAGTTATTACGTTAATGACAAAATATGTACATAAAAATGTCTGTATCATAACCTGGGATTTAAATTCTAAAAAGGTTTAAGATTGTTTGGGCATCATAGTAAATGTTCATTTTTTAAATTTTAAACTAAACTAAACTAAAATATATTAAACAATTTGTAAGCATTGAATTGTAACCATTGTGTCCTATGTATGATAAATGACGGTTCGTATTATTTTTTAAAGCAACATAATTATTGTTATTACTTAGATTGAGTTCAGGCAGTAAGCCACTGATTCCTGTGTGATATTTGTAATTTTGAAACCAATATGAAATTTTACGAAAAGCTAACAAGACACCACCTGAACCCGGATCGTATTGACGTAAGTTTCTCCTTACATCGACTTTTGATACTTGTTTCAGTGGAATTTTAGAAGTTGGGAACTACAATATAGGCAAACTTTATGGATAACATGCAGTCATCCCTGTTTGACAATCGTATAAATATCTGTATTGAACACCGTACTCACGAAATAAAAGAAGTTGTCACGAATAATGTTTGTCAATATTGACTTTTGAGACATTTGCCTATCCACTAATCCATTTACAGATACGTGCCGCACTGTCGCGAGTTCAGCGACATCCGTGACTCACCTGTACACACCTTTGCGCATGCGCAGTTGTTGAATTACCTGAATGTTTGAAGTTTTGGGGAAGGGATTTCTCATCTGATGCTGAACTTCTTTTTACTGTAACGACGAACACAACATTTACATACTTAGGACAACCTTTAAGCAAGGTAAGTGAGGAATAATATTTGAGACGATCTACCTGTAATTACTCTAAATCACACCTGGCACTGATGACCTATTTTGTGTGTTTTGATCATCGGTATTCGGCCATGGTTGTATTAGGAATGCGACACTTCCTATTGGAAAACTACATCGTTTACACGTTTCTGTTGATGATTACTGATCGACCCGAGGAAATATTTAATTAATAATATCTGATCTTATTAATAATGCTACTTACTGTCCGTACCTTACAGGTTGAAGTTTAAACAGATCATGTTCAAAAGGCGATAGACTGGACAAAATACATATTTCACCCTTTTGATGCCCCTAATTACAATGTAAAGGGCTGAATTTGTCTGTGTTATAGTCATCACAGTAGTGTTTGTGGGTTTTTACGTTAACAGGGTAGATATATGTTTAGTCAGATTTGTCAGTTCTGATGTCAAGACCTTCGCAACCCAAGTCTAAGAATGGCCTCTCTTTCATTGTCCGTGGTGTAGTGGTTAGAGCGTCAGCTCGGAGAGCGGAAGGTCGCGGGTTCGATCCCCGACCGCGTCATACCAAAAGACGTTAAAATATGGTACTTATTGGTCCCTGCCTGGCGCTCGGCATTAATGGGTACAAGGACTGGTCGGCTCGGAGTCAGTATAATGTGTCTGAGTGGGGTATCCATGCTTCACTGCGGCATGGTATCTCAGTGGGCTAGCACTATAAAACCAGCTTCAGTCTGGGCTAGTACAAGCAGCCGCACATACACACACACACGCATGCACATCGTCATATGAGCGAAATATTCTCAAGCACGACGTTAAATCCAATTTCACCTCACCTCACCTCTTTCATAGTAATTACCAGCACGACAAGGGTGAACTCCAGTTGTTTTTCATATGGTCTCAGATAAATCCTTGTGATAAAAGAATATTTTTTGTAACTGTAATTTTATAAATTGGTACATTGTTTAGAATATCAAGTAGTACCTTTGGTGGGACAAGAGTGGTTTGGGTGAGAGTAATAGTTGTTTGTTTCCTGGCTTCGGCCCTGAACTAATCACATCCATCAGCAGCCCTGTCCTCCAGCAGGGAGAGGCCTACATGTTAACAGAATAATATTTCACAGACATTGAGGAAGTGTTAGTTGAAACATGTCTGAATCAAATGAAAAGGGTGGGGTGGAGAAACACGGAAATAAAGATTGTGTTGTTAAGCGTCCGTTTTTTTGCTTTTTCGTAAATTGTGCAACCTTAATTAAAAAATGAGTGACACAACACTATCTGCTTGTCTGTTCAAGCAATGCTGTGTTAGGAAATGAATCGATGCGGTAGATTACAAAAATGGGTACAGCTTAAACACAATTCTATATGGAAATAGTGAAATATTTGATCTCGATAACCTAGCTATCTTAAAATCTGTTTGCCTCTTCATCACTGCTTCTTGTAGATTTGGTACCCAAATATGGTTGAAGAACTGTAAGCTTCAAGAATTATATCAGTTGTAATAATGAAATTGCTGTTGAAATATTAATTATCACCTGACTGTAGATTAACCTTGTGGTTTGTCATGTGATTACTAGCATCCGGTATGATAATTTTGGTTTATTTATCTTTGTAAATTGTATTGGAACGGCATTAATATAAGCTTGTAGCTTGTTTGCCAATCCATTCATTTTATGAATAAATACGTTTAAACCAAATGAGTGATGATACTATCATGGACTTTAAATATAAACATAGGTTTTGAGTAAGTTAGATATAAATGTTTGACAATATTTGTTAATATATTAACTATCAAAATGAACTATTCTTCCAGATTGCCTAAATACAAAACTTTAAATACTTTGTCACATAAATCTAGCATTCAATATATTATCGGTATTGGTATAATGTTCAATCTAATTACAATATTTCATTTAAGGTGTCGTGCAAGGTATGACTTAAATGTCAGTGCTAACAAACTTTAGTCCCCATAGTTCAACTATAAAAACATAACCCTAAACATTGCTAAAACAACATTGTTGACACCAATTTAAGTCTGCTCTATTGTTTAAGTCTAGACAGCAGCCTAATTGCCAAGAGCTAATCAACAAACAATAGATGTCACTTGCCAACTAATTAGTTTCAAGGGAGTCACATGTTTAGCTTCCAAATAGGTTAAAACCTTATAATAACAAACTTTCAAATACATGTTAATCCCCAATATGTTTACTAATAGCTCATTTGTGACAATTGTTTTTGTTAGCACTGCAAATACCTAACCCCCTATTTAAATTCTTCCATTTCAAGTTTAGGTCTCTCACTAGAGTCTTAGTGACCACTGCTGTGATATTGCTGGAATATTGCTTAAAAGTGGCATAAAACCGCACTCACTCACTCGGTGATACCAGTTTGTGGGGGTTTCAGATGAGGGAAAGTGTTTCAGCCTTCATCACTTTGGAATTCCGCCTCTCATGACTTTGAGATAATTGCAATTATCAGGACATTTAGCATTTCAGTCATCCACAACCCAGTGTTCTAATTCAGCAACATATTTCAGCATGACGACCCCGACCCCCGGAGACAATGCTGAGATCTACCGCACGACATCGAAGCAGGTGCTTGTGACACGTGACCCAGTCTTGTCCCACCCAGCGATCTATCAGGGTCATTACATCGGACCCAAGCCCCACTCCTACATGCCCTTGGCCATTGTTGTGACCATCCTGAACCCACTTATTGGACCCTTCGCCATCTTCTTTGCATGTAAGTATTCCAATTCAATTCTTTATTCATGTGAATGTGAATGATACAACGTTATACATCAGCAGCGTTGAAACTGCAGTGACCACGATTGTTAATAGAAAATGAACATGGCAAGATTTCTTAAGGCCAGAGGAGTACCATTACACACCGGTTAAATTTCCACAAGGTTGGAAGAGTGAAAACATCACCAGGGATATGTATATCATCATAAAGGGCCGTTCATAATTTATGGCTAGGGGGTGATGATGATTTTAAGGGGGGTCACCCATTTTGTTCTGGCGAGGTAGGGGGGCAGGGTCATCAATTTTGTACATGTGTACTAGGAGGGTCATCAATTTTGTACATAAAAATATTTAAAAATTAGGCTTACAAAATATGGGGAGGGTCATTGATTTTGTACATGACATGCAGGGGGGTCACTTACTTTATACATAAATTATAGGGGGGTCAGTCACACTGTACATGCTTCTCCATAAAAGTCATCATCACCCCTAGCCATAAATTATGAACGGTCCCAAAGCAGTACATATCAATAAGAAGTGGTACTTATTTTTTACATAGTTACAGGAACACATTTCACACAATCTTACGTTTTTTGGTGTGTTTATATCTACCAGTTTCTATATTTCCATAATTTAAAAGCTGCTTGGAAACAAGGCCTGTGTTTTCTTGTTTTAAAATATGCCCTCAATTTTGAAAGGAACAATGCTATGTTTGATGTACAATATGTCCATTTTGAACAACTTATTAAGTATTTTCAATATGAGTTAATCATGATGATCAGTTACTTGTCTGTGAATGTCTTGACAAACCTGCTTGTGAAACAGATTTGGAATTACAATTGTAAAAAAGGTTTCATTGATGTTCAAATTTATATCTATCAGTAGATGATGTATCTTGTACATGCGATGATCTTCTGTTACGCGTAAAAGTGACTACCTAAAAGGGGGTCACTCATTAGCGTGACTGTCTGAGGCAGACCACAGATAGGGAAATTCTGCATGTCACACAAAAAGGTCTCTAAAAGTGTTATTTATGAAAATTAAATAACAAAATGTAGTACGCTCATTGATTGAAGCCCATTTCTGTTGTCCCTTGCCATGATAATATAATTGCTGGAATATTGCTAAAGGCAGCATAAAACCACACTCACTCATCAAACGTTTTTGTTTTCAGACATGTCGGTCAGAGCTTATGGACAAGGTGACCTCAAGTACTCCAACAAGTGGTCCCAGTATGCGTTTATGATGGGGATGATCACGATTGTAGCCTCCGTCCTCATCTACATCACCATCGGCTTCGCTCTCAGTCCTATAGGCATCAGGGGAAGTCACACTCTGTGAGTGCTAAATGAAATGTGTATAGCGTGTATATATTGACGTAGACATCATTGAGGAGAAATCAATATTTTGTACAAGGTTTTACAACACTGACGGTCCAGATGATCCACAAATAAAAGTTTCAATGGTCCCTGTAGAAATATGAGGGGTAAAATAATGAAATAGTGTACAGTCCTTTTAACAATGGCGCTCTAATATGAACATTCATCTTGTCAAGAAATAGGTACATTGAATGGTATTGTGCATTGAGAGGGACACGATTATGTATCTTTTCTGCTTCAACTGTACACATTTATGTACTAGATGTACATTTCCTGTTTATATAATCACTGGTTGTAGATATTGGCTCAACCCAGAATAATAGATTCACTAATTTAGTGACGCTGTAAGGTTTGACCCATTTTTTCACATAATGAAGAATTTTAGTTTGTCCTGATTTTAACTTGTGTGATGTAAGGTAAAGCAGTTGTGTACATCCTCTTGTTTTTTAATTGTCAGTAACTCATTGAGTGTTACCATGGTTACTACACAACAGATTTTAATTGAAATCAAGATAAGAATTGATATCAATTGATTTTTGTGCCTGTAAGCTTATTTATTCTTTAATACGATCCCTGAAAATTCTAAGGATGGTTAATTTTCTTTTGTCACAATACCATGATGCTGGAAACAAATAATTAAGAAATATTTGATGATAATATCTCAAGAAAGATCTCTTGAAATATGTGTGTCATTCAAACAGAGCATTATTTTACTTTTTACGAAAAACACTCCTGTCCTAACACAGAATTAATGATTATATATTGTTAATGTGAAAGATATATGTTGATTTCATACTGGACACAAAGTTAACATCAATGACCATTATCACAATCGATCTTGCCAAGAGTTAACACCACTGCTTTGAGAATGGAGCAATCACTAAATGACCTTGTGATACTCCAGTTAGTCATGACATTTTCCTAACACCTTGTTTTGTTTGATACAGAACTGCATGTATATTTATGATGTATGTTACCACTAACAAACATATTAATCACTTTAATGTACATAAACAAGTTTTTGTATTTTATTTTGTGTATTTCATTAACATCCTTTCTTGACCATGTTGACATTTATAGTCATGAATTGTTTTGTAAGCTAGTTTTACACAGTGCTTTGTATTTTGTGTATATATTCCTCAGTTTAACTGTTATCATACACAACATTTGTCCAAGAGTATCATGCAGTGTCATACAGTTTCCTTTTTTTTAAGCTTGAATTCAGCAAGCAATACTTGTAAGTGTGAGGAGATGATTCCTTCAGTTATTTTCATTCAGTAATCATGGTAACTTGCAGCCTTTTTAGTTACTTATCGACTTAAGACTTGAAATTTCATCCAAGGAATCTGACAGAAAATATAATATTTTATGTCCAGTATGGGCTCGTCTTGTGAAATGTTCTTCAAATGTAGCGATATGGACAGCCCACCGAGCAAAAGCATCAGGATCCACCGATTGTGGTTTGGATTCCAGATTTGTATCCTCTGTTGGCAACATTCCCTTGCCTGTGTTCACCAAAGTCTAAAATCCCTGGCTTTCTCTTTCCGTCAAGGGGCCATCATTTGATCAGTTGTATCATCCTCGCAATAATCACTGTAGACCACTGTAGCAATGATCTTTTCACATTCCGTGCCTTCACAATCGTTTTGTCAGATCTGTACAAGTCCCATGTAATTGTCCATTGTCAGGGATAATAGACTGATATTGTAAATAAAATATATCCTTATATAACTCCACTGTGTTTGTTTGTATGTGCAAATGGTTTACACCACCTTCATATTTTGGTGTTTAGTAACCCATGCTTGTCATTAAAGGAGACTGATAGATCGGTTGGTCAGACTCAAGGCACATGCATGTCACATATCCATACTGTGTTGATGGATGCTTGTGTAGTCAATGGTGGCGGTCTGGAAATAATCGAGTCTGGACCAGACAATCCAGTGATCAACAGCATGAGCATCGATCTGCGCAATTGGGAACCGATGACATGTGTCAACCAAGTCAGCGAGCCTGACCACCCTGATCCCGTAAGTCGTCTCTTACGACAAGCATGGGTCACTGAAGCATCAGCAAGAGCCACAAAATGAGTTCTGCATATTCTACCCATGTGGGTTTTGAACCCATGTATTTGATTTGCCGAGTGAATGCTTTAACCATTATGCTACCTCACTGCCCTGATTTATGTGAGTAGATGACCTGGGGGTAACTCATGATTGTTCAGAAATGGGGATCAGGTGGTCAAAATGGCTGTGAAGTATGGTCATGACCTTGACCACCCTGGACATCCAAGGGAGACAACACAGCCCTCAGCGTTGGGCCATGTGAAACTGCAAACTCAGAATACATTCCATCATGAAAGTGTTCAATTAATTTCACAGTTTATTACAAAAGTTCATGACATATGTACAAGTCGGTACATACAATAAATCTGCTAGAAAATCCTCGAGCTGACCAAGTCCAGGTGACATTAGCATGCACAACACCTTTGGAAAGAGAAAACACTTTTATGATAAGCACATGCACGATCAACTGGGCTGACAGTAATTGTTGGTTTGCTATTTACACTAAGAGTCAATCTACAGTCAGAGTATCACCTACACAGGCAAGGAAGAAGGAACCGGTTTCAGCATATAACACAAGAAGGTGTGGATTTCTCCTTTGCCTCATCTTCACCAATGACATCCAAGTGCTGATAATCCACTTCATATATTACTGTAGTAATATGGAGATGTTCCTAATGCTCAACCACTGTTCACTTACAGAAATAGACTTACTGAGTTTTGGTTTTACGCCGCTTTTAGCAATATTCCAGCAACATCATGGCGAGGGACACCAGAAATGGGCTTCACACATTCTACCCATGTGGGGATTCGAACCCGGGTCCTCAGTGTGACGAGCCAACGCTTTAACCACTAGGCTACCCCACCGCCCCTACAGATATAGAACATCCACACAACATAGTTACATATTCAACTTTTAAATGACAGTCTTAGTACTCTATTTAAAACAAATCCAGATTCAGATCTTGGTGCAACATTTTTATAAAATTGGTGGCAAAACATTTTTATAAATTTGCCGAAAAAAATAATGTTTTTCCTTCCACAAAGTCTGTTAACTCCGGAAATGAAAAATAAATTTAAAAGCTGTTGGTGTCATGAAGTGAATCCCTTCAAAACACAAGGTCAACAATACTTAACATGATCAGCAGAATGAATAAGTTATCAATATATTAATAATATTTTTACTGTCCCCATATGGAGTTAGGAACTAACCTCGGACATGTTAGCTCAAACGATTACGATAAAGAGATCTATATGATAAATAATATCATCTATAAACATAACACTAGGAGTTGGATCATGCTGCTCTGTCTCCGCAGCAGGGAGGAGAAAGGCTGGCAAGACAAACATGTAGAGGATGTGATGAGAACATTGGGCCCATGAAAGAATCCACGGGTAGAAATTCCACGTTTCTTCAGCAGATGTTCTCAAATTTGTTTCATTTGAAAAAAACACTGTAAAAATTGGTTTCCTACAGAAATAGAACCATGGACTTATACACAAATATTATCATAAAAAGTAAATGCAAGCATAAGCATAATAAATGGGACAAAGGACTTCAAAATGCAATGCTTCGCTTCAGTATGGTGTCAATGTGTCAGTTTCACGGATGTTTGTGCATAAGGTAATAAAGTATACAATACAAATTGTTGATAGTAACAAAATAGCTCCTCATTGCTGAGCTGGGACCGAACAAATGCCCTTGGTGAATATGTTTTTTATTGACATATCTCATACTGACCTGTTGTATAAGTACTTCTCCAGATGGTACTGGAGGCAATGAATGTGTGAGGTCAAGGTCAAGGACTAGTATTATTACAGGATATCAACCGAATGTGCGTTCAAGGCCCAAGTCATCATGGCCCAGCTGAATATATGGGTGCGTGACCCAAAGTGATGAACTTCGTAGAAAGTTTTCACTTTTACTCAATACCACATGCACTATTATGATGCTGATGGACCAAGTATCTCCATCAGGCTGAAACGGGAATAGAACCCACGACAAATGGATCCAGAGAACAAAGGGAGGTAACTCTGACTCATAAGGAAATAAGGTAAGTATAAAAATATGAAAATGGTTCACATGCAAGGCAAGTCGATTCTGCCTAAAGTACTAGTACAATATACAATCAGATCATGAAATAATACAAATACATTCACAATATTTTCCTCAATTATGAAGAAACATTATTCATTTTACTTCTGCATATCCCAATTGTCCAGATCATATCATAGCACAAGTCATCTGACTAGGGTCCATCTGTTAAGTCTCATTGGAACAAAGCTATACTTCATACTTCATACTATGTACTAGTATTTGTAAATCATTTAACACCTCACAGTAAAATCACTCCCTGATATTGGATTAATATGAATACCAACTGTGCTCCATTCATTTAACTACCTGTGTCCTAGACATTAACTACCCGTGTCCTAGATATTTAACCATCTGTGTCCTAGACAGTTAACTACCTGTGTCCTAGATATTTAACCATCTGTGTCCTAGACATTTAACCACCTGTGTCCTAGACATTTAACCACCTGTGTCCTAGACATTTAACTACCTGTGTCCTAGACCTGTGTCCTTGACATTTAACTACCTGTGTCCTAGATATTTAACCATCTGTGTCCTAGACAGTTAATCACCTGTGTCCTAGACATTTAACCACCTGTGTCCTAGTAGTTTAATGACCTGGTACCTTTGTTCCAGACATTCTGCACAGTAAACAAGACTTTTTACTAGGTAATGCTGATTCACAAAGACAGTGATCTCCCTACTTAAATTCTTTGACAGCTTGGATTGCAGCGTTCATATATCCCCAGCAACAGACTCTCCACAAGGACAAGGTCATCCCACCTGTCTGGATGGACCACGGTAGCAACATCCTCAACACCACCAGCATCTCATATGTACATTCAGGTGGATGCAACCAACACCGCATCATCAGTTGCGATAGAATCTGAATATGGAATCACACAAATGTGAATCTAAACCCAAATTTACACTTTCTACAGCTTTTAGATTTTGCTTGGTTACTGAGCAAGGGAGAAGGCCTATCAATGGGAAATGCTTCTGTTATCCTGAACCACTGAATGTTTCTCAGTCACATAGATCGGTCCTCGTTTCAAGTGTTCCTCATTCCGCACAATCTTAAATTGATTGTCACTTGTTGACATCTTGTATACCCCACATTAGGTGGAATAAATCAGTTATCGCCTGCAGACGTCTTGTACTCTGAGTGGTAAGTGGAATAAATCAGTTATCGCCTGCAGACGTCTTGTACTCTGAGTGGTAAGTGGAATAAATCAGTTATCGCCTGCAGATGTCTTGTACTCGGAGTGGTAGGTGGAATAAATCAGTTATCGCCTGCAGACGTCTTGTACTCTGAGTGGTAGGTGGAATAAATCAGTTATCTCCTGCAGATGTCTTGTACTCTGAGTGGTAGGTGGAATATATCAGTTATCGCCTGCAGGCATCTTGTACTCTCAGTGGTAGGTGGAATATATCAGTTATCGCCTGCAGATGTCTTGTACTCTGAGTGGTAGGTGGAATAAATCAGTTATCGCCTGCAGGCATCTTGTACTCTCAGTGGTAGGTGGAATAAATCAGTTATCGCCTGCAGATGTCTTGTATACAGAGTGATAGGCATTTCTCAACAGGGCATAGGGGAAGCATGACTCCAGCAGATCCATTGTCAGGAATGGTGATTCTTGCACAATCTGAAACAAAACATGTTCATGAAGCAAGCTCACTATAAATTGAAAAGCATGCCATATTTACAAACTGTGAAGAGGTGAAAAATATACTATTCTAATTTCCTCTAAATTCCAACGTAGAGTACTATAGTACTGTCGGAAATAGAAAAAACATTTGATTTTACAACAGGTAGTTATATGTAGTGTGAAATATCTGTTTAAGTTCGGCCTAACTAGTCTCAGTGGGAGGGAGATAGGAAATGTTAAAGAAGGATTTTACTGAGGAGAGATTAAGCATTAGAAATGAGCAATGAGGTTTTTTCAAAGACTGAAGCGACTTATTTGGAGCAGACCATGGCTTTATGCAAATTAGTGTGCGATGATATTGTATAACAAATGACACTTTTGAATATCTATTATGAAATTAGACTTAGTTTTATTATAAACTATAGCAGGCGTAAAAATAACAACTTTAATACTGAAACTATTAAGGAGATAGATACCATTGAGTCTCACTATCACTATAAAAAGAAACAGGTAGGAGGGTCATCTCAAAAGCAACACCGAGGCGGGTGTTGCTGACAGTAGTTAAGGGTCGGGCTTGGTGATAGAGTCATTAGCTACGATTAGATAATCAATAGAGACATATTCAATACACATGAAAAGCATAAAATATATCTGAGATGACCCCTTGTGTTTGTGGGCGGCATGTGCATTTCATGCATTTCCGTATTTTTTCTAAGTTTAGCCCGATTTTACGAAAGTAAAGTACTAGGACCTTTTCTGTCCTGAAATCATTACACCAAGGAAAAGCATAGAAGACAGGCATGGGGTGATGGAGACCTATTCTGATTACTCTCTGAGGGAGCAAGGACAGCGTGAAAGGATCTGTTCTATACTGGAATGGGGACACAGAGTAAAGAAGCATGTTGACAAGGGTAGTTTAGTGCTGGAATGCTGGGATGATGTCACAGATTCACAGTATTGTGAGACACTGAAGTGGCAAACACGTGTCGGTACCCACCAGGTCCAGCAGCAGGTAGACAGACTCTCTCTGTTTGATGGACTCCTTGTCCTGCTCCTGGCCCAGACGCAGCAGACTTGAGGACGCCAGCTGAAGCAGACGTCACACAGTCAGCAACATGACATAGATATATAAGTGGTGGTGGTGGTGGTGGTGGTGGAATTGGGTTTAACGTCGTGCTTGAGAATATTTCGCTCATATGACGACATGCATGCGTGTGTATGTGTAAGTGCGGCTGCTTGTACTAGCCCAGACTGAAGCTGGTTTTATAGTGCTAGCCCACTGTGATACCATGCCGCAGTGAAGCATGAATACCCCACTCAGACACATTATACTGACTCCGAGCCGACCAGTCCTTGATGTACCCGTTTATGCCGAGCGCCAGGCAGGGACCAACAAGTACCATATTTTAACGTCTTTTGGTATGACGCGGTCGGGGATCGAACCCGCGACCTTCCGCTCACCAGGCGGACGCTCTAACCACTACACCACGGAGGCGGTCAGATATATAAGTGAGAAGATAATAAAAAGGGACATACTTTATGGATGAGAACTTCTTTATATATATATATAGGAATGATCTGCTCTGTTGGTTTATCAGTTCATTGTAAGCAGATGGGATGAGATATCCTTGATCTCTGTTGATTGGGGGATTGTGTCTGTGGATTTGAACTTCTTCTGCAAGTTTTCTTTTGGTGAAGTCCTGGAGTTTGGACAGTTGATGATATGGTCTGATATTGCTGATTTTCGGTCTGATTTTGTGGTAGATGATAAGTGTTCTGTGATTCTGATATTTATGGGCCGAGAGGTTTCCCTTACAGAGGCCTCGCCAATCAAAATGCCAGTCAAAAAGATCAAACAAATATTGAGTGAGTTACTGAGAGAGTTGCCTTTAATGTTGCTTGGAACACTATTTCAGCCATGTAATGATCGGATACACCACATGTAATTTAGAACTTCACCGAACAGACATTGTTCAAAACTCACGCTATCAGATGCCATATGACAGGAAAATAAAAATATTTTTATCTTTTAAAGGTAAGAACAGGTGTTAATCAACAAGCAAACAGCTATTGCCTGAAGTAATACAAACATGACATGTTAGTTCACAGACACTTACTGCCAGGAATTCCTTCAACCGGTCCTCAACGTCTCCAGGTCCGTAGATGGTGAACAGAGCCCCCGCCAGTGAGTTGATGGCCTTGGCCAAGCAGTGGCTGTTGTTTCGATGACCTGATATATATTGGTCAATAAGTTCAGTAATGCAGGAGGACTGTCTATGTAACAGGTACTCATAACCGGTTAGTAATAATAGTTAGTAGCATTTGGGCACAACTGAAAAACTATGTGTGGTCTCATATCAGTCTCCTCATTGTCCAGTCTTCATAGTGAGTGAGTGAGTGAGTTTGGTTTTACGCCGCTTTTAGCAATATTCCAGCAACATCACGGCGGAGACAGCAGAAATGGGATCCCCACATTGTACCCATGTGGGGATTCGAACCCGGGTCGGCGTGACGAGCCAACGCTTTAACCACTAGACTACCCCACTGCCCCTGGTCTCCAAAGAGGTTGTGGAGTAGCCTAGAGGTTAAAGGGTTCGCTCATCATGTGGAAGACACACGATCGATTCCCCACATGGGTACAATGTGTGTAGCTCATTTCTGGTGTCCCCATCGTGATTTTGCAGAAATATTGCTAAAAATCAGCGTAAAACCAAACTCACTCACTCACTCCGGTCATATGGTGTTTCATGCCTTAGATATGGTCCAACAATGGGCTTCTATCTAAACATGAAGCCATCTACAGACCAATGAAGTCTACGTCACAGTGAGATAAACATCCTATATATATACACACTGTTACATTGTAATACATATTAGACTCATATTCAATGATGTCATGGTAAATAAAGACAGATCTACTTCCACTGCAATGTGTATCTCTGGTAATGAAGGGAGGCAACTCTGTACAGCATATTGTCATGCCTCAGAAGACACTAGACTTGCAGATAGACTTGATGTGGGAGTTCACTGACCTTCCAAGTGAGCCCTGTACTTGGCTGCGTCCCCCTTGGCCAGTTTGGGGATGGACACTGCGATAAACACCATCAGCAGACAGGCCAGGGAGTACTCATCCTCGGCATGCTCTGAAACAGTGAATGAGGGGCTGAATGGTGGGTGAGTGAGTGAGGTGAGGTGAGGTGAAATTGGGTTTAACGTCGTGCTTGAGAATATTTTGCTCATATGACGATGTGCATGCATGTGTATGTGTATGTGCAGCTGCTTGTACTAGCCCAGACTTAAGCTGGTTTTATAGTGCTAGCCCACTGAGATACCATGTCGCAGTGAAGCATGAATAAACTCAGACAGTCTGACCAGTCCTTGTTGTACCCATTAATGCCGAGCCAGGCAGGGACCAACAAGGACCATATTTTAACGTCTTTTGGTATGACGCAGTGAGGGGATCGAAATACGACCTTCTGCTCTCCGAGGGAAGCTGTAACCACTGGAGGCAGGGTCAGGTGAGTGAGTGAGTGAATGGAGGTGAGTGAGTGAGTGGAGGTGAGTGGTGAGTGAATGGTAGGTGAGTGAGTGAGTGAGTGAATGGTAGGTGAGTGAGTGAATGGTGAGGTGAATGTTAGGTGAGTGAGTGAGTGAATGTTAGGTGAGTGAGTGAATGGTAGGTGAGTGTGAGTGAATGGAAGGTGAGGAGTGAGTGAATGGAAGGTGGAGTGAGTGAATGGAAGGTGGTGAGTGAGTGAATGGTAGGTGAGTGAGTGAATGGTAGGTGAGTGAGTGAGTGAATGTGGAATGAAGGTGAGGTGAGTGAGTGAATGGTAGGTGAGTGAGTGAATGGGAGGTGAGGTGGAGTGAGTGAGTGGTGGGTGAGTGAGTGAGTGAATGGTAGGTGAGTGAGTGAATGGAAGGTGAGTGAGTGAATGGAAGGTGAGTGAGTGAATGGAAGGTGAGTGAGTGAATGGTAGGTGAGTGAGTGAATGGAAGGTGGAGTGAGTGAATGGAAGGTGAGTGAGAGTGAATGGTAGGTGAGTGAGTGAGTGAATGGAAGGTGAGTGAGTGAGTGAATGGTAGGTGGAGTGAGTGAATGGTAGGTGAGTGAGTGAGTGAATGGTAGGTGAGTGAGTGAATGTTAGGTGAGTGAGTGAATGGAAGGTGAGTGAGTGAGTGAATGGTAGGTGAGTGGTGAGTGAATGGTAGGTGAGTGAGTGAATGGAAGGTGAGTGAGTGAGTGAATGGAAGGTGAGTGAGTGAGTGAATGGTAGGTGATGAGGTGAGTGATGGTGAATGGAAGGTGAGTGAGTGAGTGAATGGTAGGTGAGGTGAGTGAGGTGAATGGTAGGTGAAGTGAGTGAGTGAGTGAATGGAAGGTGAGTGAGTGAATGGTAGGTGGGAGTGAGTGAATGGAAGGTGAGTGAGTGAATGGTAGGTGAGTGAGTGAATGGAAGGTGAGTGAGTGAATGGTAGGTGAGTGAGTGAGTGAATGGAAGGTGAGTGAGTGAATGGTAGGTGAGTGAGTGAATGGTAGGTGAGTGAGTGAGTGAATGGTAGGTGAGGTGAGTGAATGGTAGGTGAGTGAGTGAGTGGAATGGTAGATGGTGGTGAGTGAGTGAATGGTAGGTGAGTGAGTGAATGGTAGGTGAGTGAGTGAATGGAAGGTGAGTGAGTGAATGGTAGGTGAGTGTGAATGGAGCGTAGAGGTGAGAATGTAGGTGAGTGAATGGAAGGTGAGTGGGAGTGAGTGAATGGAAGGTGTAGTGAGTGAATGGTAGGTGAGTGAGTGAGTGAATGGTGAGGTGAGTGAGTGAGTGAATGGTATTTCAGTGAGTGTGAGTGAATGGTAAAGGTGAGGTGAGGTGAGTGACAACATCTAGGTGAGGAAAAGATGAACATCAACCAAGGTGAGCTATCGGGATTCTATTGGTTGTGGGCAATGGTGAAATGTAAGTGAATGGTAGTGGTGGTGAGTGAATGGAAGGTGAGTGAGTGAGTGAATGGACTCTGTGGTGAAGTGTGAATGGTAGGTGAGTGAGTGAGTGGAGGTGAGTGGTGAATGGTGGTAGGTGAGTGAAGGTGGTGAGTGAATAGTAGGTGAGTGAGTGAATGGTAGGTGAGTGAGAATGGTGAGTGAGTGAGTGAATGGTAGGTGAGTGAATGGTAGGTGAGTGAGTGAGTGAATGGAAGGTGAGTGAGAATGAATGGAAGGTGAGGTGATGGTGAGTGAGTGAATGGTAGGTGAGTGAGTGAAGGTGAGGTAGGTGAGGTGAGTGAGTGAATGGAAGGTGAGTGAGTGAGTGAATGGTAGGTGAGTGAGTGGAAGGTGGTGTAGGGAAGTGAGTGAATAGTAGTAGGTGAGTGAATGAGGTGGAGTGTGAGTGTAGGCAAATGGAGTTGAGATGGTTAATGGTAGGTAGGTGAGTGAGTGAATGCTAGGGGGTGAGTGAAAGCTGAGTGAGTGTTGATGCCACATCCAGCAGTATTTCAGCCATGTGACATCAGTCTGTAAATACCAAATAATTGAACCAGACAATCTGTGACTGACAACATCTACATGACTTGGAAAAGATGACATGCATCAACCAAGCCAGACAGCTATCTGATTCTATTGGTTGTAGTTTGGCAATCATTGATGAGTGAGATGAATGTAACAATATATCAGTCATGAACAGGAGAGTGAGGCAGAAAGCCCAAAGTGATGCCGACAGATACAACCCTTCATGGTAGGTGACTCTGTGATACAAGTGAATGAATGGTAGGTGAGTGGTGAGTGAGATGAGTGGTGAGTGAGGTGAGTGAGTGAATGGTAGGTGAGGTGAGTGAGTGAGTGAGTGAGTAGGTGGTGAGTGAGTGAATGGTGAGTGAATGGTGAGTGAATAGTGAGTGAAGTGAGTGAGGTGAAGTAGTGAATGGTAGTGTGAGTGAGTGAATGGTAGGTGAGTGAGTGAATGGTGAGGTGAGATGGTAGGTGTAGTGAGTGAGGAATGGTGAGTGAGTGAGAGTGAGTGAAGTAGGTGAGGTGAGGTGAGTGGAAGGTGAGTGGAGTGAATGGTGAGTGAGAGTGAATGGTAGGTGAGTGAGTGAGTGAATGGTAGGTGAGTGAGTGAGTGAGTGGTAGGTGAGTGAGTGAGTGAATGAAAGTAGGTGAGAGTGAGGTGAGAGTGAATGGTAGGCAAGTGAGTGAGTGAAGTGAAGGAAGATGTGAGTGAGTGAGTGAATGGTAGGGTGAGTGAGTGAGAGTGAGTGGTAGGTGAGTGAGTGAATGAATGGTAGGTGGTAGTGAGTGAATGGAAGGAGAGTGAGTGAATGGAAGGTGAGTGAGTGAGTGAATGTGAAGTGAGTGAGTGAGTGAGTGAGTGAATGGTAGGTGAGTGAGTGAGTGAATGGTAGGTGAGTGAGTGAGTGAATGGTAGGTGAGTGAGTGAATGGAAGGTGAGTGAGTGAGTGAATGGTAGGTGAGTGAGTGAATGGAAGGTGAGTGAGAGTGAATGTAGGTGAGTGAGTGAGTGAATGGTAGGTGAGTGATTGCATGAATGGTGGGTGGGTGAGTGTATTGTAGGCAAATGGTAGTTGAGAAAGGCGGTGATGCCGACAGATGGTAGGTGGGTGAGTGAGAAAGGTAGGTGAGTGAAAGCTGAGTGAGTGTTGATGCCACATCGAGCAATATTTCAGCCATGTGACATCAGTCTGTAAATACCAAATAATTGAACCAGACAATCTGTGACTGACAACATCTACATGACTTGGAAAAGATGACATGCATCAACCAAGCCAGCCAGCCATCTGATTCTATTGGTTGTAGTTTGGCAATCATTGATGAATGAACACGATAAATGTAACAATATATCAGTCATATCAACAGGAGAGGTTAGACGAAAGCCCAAAGTGATGCCGACAGATACAACCCTTCATCAGGGCAACTCTGTGATCCAAACCAAAGATCACAAGATTCTGGCATCACTAAGAGATGCAACTCACCATATAACATCTTGAAGCCTTAAGGCACTGTAACAACTAAAATAGCATGGTCCTCACCTGACTTGAGAGTTCGGAGGGCGTTGCAGAGCGTGGGGTCCACGGCACATGTCAAGCCAGCGGAAGACGCCAACTCATTGACAACCTGGGTATAATGTCATTTAATATTATTCATAGCATATGTTCATTCACAGCTTAAAGAAAATCTTCCTGTTTATACAAAAAGCTAAGTAAAATGCCATCCTTAACCCTCATGCACAAAACTCTTACCAGGTTTTGTCTATTTTATGCCCATATATAAGTACAGGAGTGATACTTATAGAACTAGGATTGACTTGTGCAAGAAACCCCTCATCTTGAATAACTAGTACATATTTCTCAAAGATACTAAGAAACATGAAGAATATCCTGATAAATATTTTGTTCAAAACTGCTACTGGGACTAAATAGTCATGTCTAACACTTATCAACACAATTTGCCGAACATTCAACACATTCTCTATTAAAAGTTCATATTTTCACAATTTTCATGAAAACCCTTATATGCCTCAAAGCTTCTGTAGGTGCAACTCTTCCATAGTCAACAGCATGTGACCCAATGTATGACACTGACTTGATCCGAGTTGTCAGCGAGTACTATCACATTTAGACATATTGTTTTCGTCCGAGGCTTTAAACAGCATCCTAGTTATTAAGGCACATCATAAAATATCGTATTGCCACAGCTGATATATGGTGAAAACTTGAAATCTTCTACTTAATAATTACAACATTGACAACAAGGACTTTTAATCCTTAATGGACCCTTATCAGATAAATCATAGCACCTGTACTGCCTTCCACTACAAATTAAGCGTGTCTCAAATATATCTTTTGTACATCAACAAAATTAAAGCTTGAAACACAGCCAGGTGTAACGCTTAATACATCGTTGAGTCATACGACTACAACTTACTTACAATATTGAGAAACCCACAGACATGGGGTCAACACAGTACCACAGATTTGCATCATAACATATATGTAAAAGGAAACATAAGCTAGACATCTTTCTCCAAGGCCTCCTCAAGCAGCTTGAAGATTGCTTGACATTACCAGGAGTTGCGTCTGTCAGGGTTGGCAAATGCATCTGAGGGTAATGCTAGATTCATCAAAGACATTGAGTGAGTGAGTTTGGTGTTATGACAGTTTTTCAGTGCCAGTTGTAAGAGGAAAATGCAATATTGAAAAGATTGTTGCACAATACATAATTGTGGTATATCTCATGGATAGCACAATGGTTGTGGATTGCTAAGTGGATAGCATTGGTTGTGGAATGTCAGCTGACAATAGGAGGAATATATTTGCAATCTCAAGATATACATTTCCCTGGGAGGCAATGGTTGCCTCAATATTTCATGGAGTTGTGGTAATTTTAACATCAGAATTAATTGATCAATGATTTACACATTCGACATAAATATGAATATACATTAATGATTGGCTTGAAATCAGTTTACAAAGAAGAGGAGACATCAAATTCTTCTTGACTAATGATCCTTTATCAACTCCCTGGATAGAAGCAAATCGAGCAAGTGGCAGATGAAACAAGAGGCAGAAGCCACAAGGAGCAGACGTAACAAGTGGCAGATGGAGGAAGAGGCAGACAGAAGAAGTGGCAGACGGAAGAAGAGGTTGATGGCAGGAGAGGATGATGTGTACATGATGATGTTGTAAAATAGCTGCACATACCTTGCTTTTGTCACTTTTCTATAATGAGAGTGAGTTAATTGGGTCTGACTCTTAGAACTTAGTGAAGATGACAATGATTTAGCATGTGACCACAGTTGAGAGTTGTCTGTGGGTCTTTCCATGTTTCTAGACTCGTGATCTCTAGCACCCAGTAGTGACCTATAGTGAGTTGTGTTTACACCATTTGAACAGTTTCTTAGTCTAATCAGTGTGTCAGCTTTTGTGTGACGAAGTCTACAAGACACCTGAAATGTATACCATTTAATGAAATCCAAGAGCAAAATGATTATTTTCCAGCCACGATATTGACATGCCTGACATCTGTAGCAGCTGACGTGGCATCCTGCTCTCAGTGACAACAGTGGATACAACATATGACAGAACACTGTCACTGGACCTATGTTGACAATGGCGTTCAGTCTAACGGCTGGTCAAGGCATACCAACATGTTTTGCAAAACACCACTGACCCAAATCAGCTGCAATGATTAGAATCAGAGCATCCATCCTGCTGTTGTGAAATATGGACAATCTTAATCATATCAATGTTTGAACAGACATATATCCATTAAAAGAATCCACAGAAGACATCTAATCTTTAATCTACCTGTGAAGGTCCGGGTTAGAATATACCTTCAGTAACCCATGCTTGTCGTAAGAGGCGACTAACGGGTCATCGGTTCCCAATCACTTGATTGTCTGGTCCAGACTCGATTATTTACAGACCGCCACCATATAGCTGGAATATTGCTGAGTGTGGCGTAAAACTAAACTCACTCACTCACTAGTCCTTAATCTAGTAACATCTGATACTAAGAATAGTCAAAGATTGCTACATCCAAGTACAATTTGTCTCTTCTGGGGTCTTCAGGTTCGGGAATCCTTTGACCATGAGGTCTTACATTTATGTGTTGAATACAGCAATAGTCCTACTTTATGACATGACCTTGTAGATAATCGAGTCAGGACCAAATAGTCGTAGGTTGGTTGGTGGGTTGTTTAACGCCGCACTCAGCAATATTCCAGCTATAGTACAGCAGTCTGTAAATAATCAAGCCTGGACCAGACAAACCAGTGATCAACAGCATAACATTAATCTATGCAGTTGGGATATGATGACATGTGTCAACCAAGTCAGCGAGCCTGATCGCCCTATCCCGTTATTAGTCTCTTACGACAAGCATGGGTTGCTGAAGGCCAAGTCTAATTTGGATCTTCACAGGTCAGGGCCAGGAAGACCAGCGATAGATGTTGCTTCTTTTGTTTAACACTGCACTGATCACTATTACTGTTTTGTGACAGAGGGTTGACTATACATGATAGTCTGAACCAAACGAGCCAGTGATTGATATGAAGCTCCCACACTGTATGCCACCAACAATCGAGTGACCCTCTGACCGAATCAGTCGCCTTGCATGACCAGCAAAGGTTGGTGGGGCCCTTGATAACATGGAAGCCCTTAGAGGGTACAGCTCCTTACAGGGCTCCTGTGTTCAGAGCGGAGGTTCCTGACTGACTGACTGACTGAGTTTGGTTTAACGCCGCTTTTAGCAATATTCCAGCAACATCACGGCGGGGGACACCAGAAATAGGCTTCACACAATGTACCCATGTGGGATTGAACCGGGTCCTGTGTTCAGTTAACCACTAGGCTACCGCCCTGCGGAGGTTCCTAAATACATTCAAACAGTTTGTCATCTTCCTTAGAGTGAGTGAGTTTAGTTTGACACCGCTTTTAGCAATATTCCAGCAATAGCATGGTGGAGGAAATGGGCTTTACACATTATACCCATGTGGGGAATCGAACCCGGGTCTTTGGCATGACGAGTGAACGCTGTAATCATTAGGCTATCCAATCTTCCTCAGAAACATTTCAAGTGCGGTACAGTGTCAGTCTTAAACCACTGTATTTGTGATTTTACCACAACAATGTGATCTTTCTCCTACATTACATAACGACAAGAACAACATCCAAACAACAACATCAAAGGATTCCTTCTGGAACAGGTGAGCTAAAGGCCAGTTATGTGGGGCTGAAAGTCCATCGTCATATTATATACAAAATAACTAACTACCATTAGATACACTCATCTGTCTACCCATCAGACAACAGCCATGTGATAGTAAGGTCATGCAAACTGGAAGAACCCAAATTATTCATAAATGACAATGAGAATACAAAATCATAATTTGTAACCAAACTTAAAAACGGAACACGAAATCCGACCAGAATAAAGTGAAGTACGTAAAACAATGTTGCACAGTGGTTGAGCAATGAGGATAACGAAAGAGTGAAAGAATTCTAAAACCAACGTCACACTCCAAAACACTCAGTAGGATTTGAACAAACCTGGATTTTCAAAGAGGCAGGCTGCAGCAAGGAATTAAACATTAGCAATATACCTCTCGCAAATATTCAAAAATCTAGGATTACGACTAGCTGGGGGAGCGAGGGGATGAGAGAGACTACTGGGCCTAGATTTTCGAAGCTCTCTTATCGCTAAGATAGTCGTAAGTTAATGTTAATGTATGGCACTTACGACTATCTTAGCGCTAAGAGAGCTTCGAAAATCTAGGCCCTGATGCTACTGGGACAAGGGAGATAACTCTATGGCGGGGAAATACAAGAGCTGTTCAAATGGGGGAGGGTGGGGTTTCATTATTTTCAGAACAAGCTTTTAAAGGTTGGTAATACAATTTACTACGATATATATTTTCCAACATTTTTTATTTGCTATTGAAGAAAAATAAGATCAGGAATGTTTTTGTGGGTTTGGCCTTGAAACTTGAAAAAAAGGCAGTTGGTTAAGTGAATTAGAACTATTCAAGAACTCTAACCATTTCCTTATTTATCAAATGAGAGTTTTTGAGGAGTACATGAATCAAGACTTCTGATTTTCTGCCTTCACACATGGTTTATTGTCAATATCAATAAAATCAGATGTTCGTGCTCGGTACCACTGGAATGGAAGTGGCCATTCTGTCACTAATACAGCTGAAAGCTGCTTAATTATTGATTAATGCTGACTTCACATCATTTCATTGGTTAACAAAATTTGAAAAAGGGTGGACGGCAGTGACCGGTAATGGGATGTCATTAGATCTTTGTGTTGCCTTAGCAGGAGTGAGTGAGTGAGTGAGTTGGGTTTTATACTGCTGTTAGCAATATTCCAGCAATATCACAGCGGGGTACACCAGAAATGGGCTTCACACATTGTACCAATGTTGGGAATCGAACCCGTGTCTTCGGCATGATGAGCCGATGCTTTAACCACTAGGCTACCCCATCGCCTGGCCATAGCAAGAACTAAGATGGTTTAAATGAGATTTGGTTTACAGGACACACAACTGTTTGATCTGAAGTCTCTAAAGCCTTTCAGTCTATATTATTACTTCTCTTATTGTAAATACTTCTTAACATGATTAGTTGTCTTCACAAGTTTAAGGACCGCCTCCGTGGTGTAGTGGTTAGAGCGTCCGCCCGGAGAGCGGAAGGTCATGGGTTCGATCCCCGACCGCTTCATACCAAAAGATGTTAAAATATGGTACTTGTTGGTCCCTGCCTGGAGCTCGGCATTAATGGGTACAACAAGGACTGGTCGGCTCGGAGTCAGTATAATGTGTCTGAGTGGGGTATTCATGCTTCACTGCGGCATGGTATCTCAGTGGGCTAGCACTATAAAACCAGCTTCAGTCTGGGCTAGTACAAGCAGCCGCACATACACATACACACGCATGCACGTCGTCATATGAGCGAAATATTCTCAAGTACGATGTAAAACCCAATTTCACCTCACCTCACAAGTTTATGATTTATTACCGCTACTATCATTTGTGAAGTTTTAATGCAAACTTGACAACATACTGCCTTCTTATTTCCATGGTGTTACTTATTTCTTATTCCTTACACTGCACTGACGAAAGCCACAAAAATTGATTTATATCCTACTTTCAGACTTTTCTCATCGAACATAACCATCATACACTATTCCAGACAAGGAGTAACGAAACTGAAACTATGAACGTAAAATGACAGTCGTCATAATAGCCATAGTTAAATCAGGTGACAGGGAGTCGAAATAAATTGCCCCAAATAAATCTGATAAAGTGTTTTAATAACTCCAGGCAATGGCGACAGGAGAGAGCGAGATGCATCACTTACCATGGCATCCTTTGTGTTGGGTACGTAATGGTGGAGATCTTTCACCGAGCCCATCAGGAAGGGGATCCTATCTCCCAATACCTGCAGACAAATATACAACAGTGAGTGAGTGAGTGAGTGAGTGTGAGTGAGTGAGTGAGTGAGTGAGTGAGTGAGTGTGCTTAACTCTACATCAGCAATACTAAACTAATTTGTATCAAGAAATTTTAATAATAGTTCCTATAGTTATATAACAATTCAGTGAATATTCAGTGTATATTCACAGTTCAATGGAAATCTAAATTTAAAACCTTTAACCTACATGATTACATCTTTTTAGGACAACAATATATGGATCTAAATCTGTTATCAAACAAGTGATGTTATCCTTCCTTATTGCTCCAACTTCTAAATGCCACTCAAAGAAGCTGCATCTTACTGTTAGAGTTGCAACGATATACCACCATTTATACAGACCTCTCAGTTTGTACATTTTGATCCCATACACAAAGAGTATGGAAACTGAACTGGTGGTAACTCATGGTACATAGAGCACTGTAGTATAGTGTTACAGCTCAACTCATGGCACACGGAGCACTGTAGTATAGTGTTACAGCTCAACTCATGGAGCACTGTAGTATAGTGTTACAGTTAGTCATTATAAAAATAATTTGTTTCATACTGTAGTATAGTTTCATATTCACATTACATACACCATTCCATGCAACAGTTGCTGAAGACAAATTCCAACCCATCTTGAACCCATTCCCATCTTTAAGGTGAGTGAGTGAGTGAGTGAGTGAGTGGGTTTAGTTTAACGCCACACTCAGCAATATTACAACTACATGGCAGCGGTCTGTAAATAATGGAATCTGGACCAGACAATTCAGTGATCAATGGCATGAGTCTGCCAATCCAAGTCAGTGAGCCTGACCACCCAATCCAGTTAGTCGCCTCTTACGACAAGAACAGGTTACTGAAGATCAGTTCTAACCCGGATCTTCAAGGGTTAGAGTGCTGACTTACGTCTCTGAGAGCTTCCTGTGCCAGTCCCCTGAAGGCCAACAGCACTCCAACCATGGTCATCCGCATCAGCACAATGTCCACATCTGAGGAAACACAGTAGTCATGAAATACACCCTTCACACAAACATTTTTTGAAAATATGCTATTGGCAGGACAACTACCTAGCACCAAGAAAGTCCAGGCACCTTAAAAATTGACATTGGTTTAAAATCAGTTTGATATAACATACAGACAATTAACTGTAATTCATAGAGAAGACAATTTGATATATATAGTGTATGTTTATACTGACATTAAAAAGGAAGGTCTCATTTGGATGTTTCATTTTGAAACAACTTCGAATTAATTTGAAGGAAACAATTTTCTATCACATTAATATTTATCATAACCCTTTAAAATAAGTTAAGAATACTTTTTTATCCAAGGAAAATGTCACATGCAATTAAATATGTAACTAGTGTCAATGTCAAGGACAGACATGGCACTGACATGAATGGACAACAGAAGTTCATGCAAATGGTTTACATTAGTCATGAGGGATGTAGCACAATTTCAAGATGAGGTTTAATAAGTTAAACATCATATTATTACAACAGTCAAACATGCGAAAATAGAATATTCCTTTTCTAATTATTTTACGACACAAATATAAACACTTGTTCATGACTCACTATCAGCAAACAAGTTATCTCAATCACATATATACAGCACTGACAGATACATATACAGTTAAAATATTACCAATTACAAATGGTTTTGATAAAAAATACATCAATTAAATATTTTATAAAAATAATCCCCTCTCACTATATCATTGATCAGTATTTTCTAAAGAAAGACCCACTGTGTTCAGTGAAGTTACGGAATAGGACAGGCATATCTCAGCCACACCCCAGTTGTCTATGACGTGTTCAGTGAGTTACGGAATAGGACAGGCATATCTCAGCCACACCCCAGTTGTCTATGACGTGTTCAGTGAAGTTAGGGAATAGGACAGGCATATCTCAGCCACACCCCAGTTGTCTATGACGTGTTCAGTGAGTTAGGGAATAGGACAGGCATATCTCAGCCACACCCCAGTTGTCTATGACGTGTTCAGTGAGTTAGGGAATAGGACAGGCATATCTCAGCCACACCCCAGTTGTCTATGACGTGTTCAGTGAGTTAGGGAATAGGACAGGCATATCTCAGCCACACCCCAGTTGTCTATGACGTGTTCAGTGAGTTAGGGAATAGGACAGGCATATCTCAGCCACACCCCAGTTGTCTATGGCGTGTTCAGTGAGTTAGGGAATAGGACAGGCATATCTCAGCCACACCCCAGTTGTCTATGATGTGTTCAGTGAGTTAGGGAATAGGACAGGCATATCTCAGCCACACCCCAGTTGTCTATGACGTGTTCAGTGAAGTTAGGGAATAGGACAGGACAGGCATATCTCAGCCACACCCCAGTTGTCTATGGCGTGTTCAGTGAGTTAGGGAATAGGACAGGCATATCTCAGCCACACCCCAGTTGTCTATGACGTGTTCAGTGAGTTAGGGAATAGGACAGGCATATCTCAGCCACACCCCAGTTGTCTATGACGTGTTCAGTGAAGTTAGGGAATAGGACAGGCATATCTCAGCCACACCCCAGTTGTCTATGACGTGTTCAGTGAGTTAGGGAATAGGACAGGCATATCTCAGCCACACCCCAGTTGTCTATGACGTGTTCAGTGAGTTAGGGAATAGGACAGGCATATCTCAGCCACACCCCAAGTTGTCGATGACGTGATTGAACATTGTATATACTACCGATAATTGTCTCTTCATAATAATAATCATAATAAAATTTCAGATCACTAACTACTTGTTACTGATGCGATCTGAAAGAAAACAGCGAATATTGTTGGGCGATTATAGGGCGAGTCATGAAAATGTTATTCAATGCTACAAAAATACAAGAAAAGGAAATGAATAAATATTCAAAATAATATTCTATAGCCATGCTTGTAACAAAAATGGCATTCCTAATAAATATTCTGGGACTAACAACAAAAGAAAGAATTCATTTTGAACAGCTGAGAAGCATCATGCTATCACCAGGTCTTCCTGCTTTCTATGTGTGGGAGAGAATACTTATCAATGTGCATATTTAACTGTTAAGACGAACTGTGCTTACACACACACACACTGACACAGGAACCGTCAGAATGCTGAGAAATACCCGACCATCTCTAGATATAATTTTCTTATCTAAATTCTTGGTTTTGGGGCCACCTGTTTGAGCTGCCTGTACATTCCTATATTTTAAAAGATGAAGATATTTTATGATAGTATGTTTAACCAGATATATGAAAGTAAGAAAGACCGATCACTTGAATTACTACAACCTGTTTCTGGCTGTTTTACATTTACAGAACACACACTTAACGCTAAAGGATTCCCACAAGAATATTTGGCTCTTGGAAATGGTACTATCCAGGGGTGGAAATAACCCATTGCCTGACGCCCGAGTCCAGTGGTTTTTTCTGTCGGGCAAGCAAATTTGTATATCACACTGTACCGGTGTCCAGTTGACTTTCCAATATTAATTATGTTGTTTATTTTAAAATTCAACAAGAAAATGGACGGTATAGTGGAAAAATTATCAGGGCAAGTGATTTTACATGTGCCACTGTACCAGAGTACACTAGCAAGTTTAAAGTTATTTCCACCCCTGCTATCTAACCCTGGTGGTTCTGACAATGGCCCCTCAATGAGATAACATACAATACCAAACAGAAAATAAAGGAAAACTTAAATATGCACATTATAAACAAGGCAGGAAGGATGGTTTGCCGGCGAAAAATCAAAATCACCAAACAAATGACAAACGGCTTGTTGCTGCCGTAACCAGTTGGACTTACCACTCGAGGCGTTCTTATGTGACGCTAACGGAGAAAGCAAAATGTGATGTGATGGAGATGAAGATATAGAAGACAACAGCAGAATCATGGAAGCAAACAAACGTGGGGTCTTGGTCGGCGGGATTTATAAATTCTTGTAAGTTTCGGGGCAAATTTTCAAACAAGGATGACACAAGGAAAGAAGAGAGAAAATGAAATTTAGAGAAATAAAGGAAGAATGAATCGACAGAGTGAGTGAGTGAATGAGTGAGGTTGGTGAAGAGTGACTAAGATAGTGAGTGAGAAGTTGGGTGAGAGATGAGAGAATTGTCGGGTGAGTGAGAAGTGAGATTTTATGTGAGTTGGATTTTAAGAGATGTGATAGGAAAGAAGGAAAGAGTTGAAAAAGAATACAAAATGAGGAAAAGACAAGAAATAGATGAGACAATAGGGTGAACACGGAGAGTGCCATTATTTTTGATGTAGCAAGTCACTACAGACTATAACACCAGTCTAAGGAGCTTTATAATAGCTTTGCTGTTCTATGTGTCTCACATGCCATTAACCTGCTCACAGTGAAACCTCATTAACCCAGATCCTCTATACACCATACTACTAAACAGTTTGGATGGTTAATATCAGTCACAAGGGAAATATTATGTAATTTATATTTGTTATTCAAGAACGATGCAGATGTTTGTCTTGGATTCCAAATGAAGTGCCCTTGTCAGTCAGTTTAAGAAAAAATGCATATATTCTTTTTAATGAATTGCAGAAAATCATGATTTTGGCAGCTCCTGTTTTCTCCAGTAAAATGCCCTCAATACAAAAAAGTAAAAGTAAGCTTATTTTTCATATTGTCAGTGAAATACTAGGCACCTCCAGTAAGACCTCACATTAATCATAATTAAATTGCATGAATAAGAAATATGCAGTCTCATTACACAGCAATAATATTGACATGAGAACAGGTCGAGATCTATCTCTGCAATGAGACTGGGAATTGTTTTGTCCAGATTAATAAGGTTTCACTGTAATAACAGGTCTAATCTAATGGAGATAAAAGAGTTGGTGAGACATAAATTTGTCATAATCAAAGTCGACTATACAGACTGAACAAATACAGACAATGAGAGACTAGACAGAGCCAGATATAATCTCGGATATAAGCCCACAGTATGTAGTGGACACACTCACTATATCTCCATTATATACTGACAGAAACAAATAAGGCAACACAAGAAAGTACAAGTGTTCCTTTATTCTTCTCCAGGTTTCTGTGGGTGAAAATCTGATACTAAATAAAGGAAAACTGCAATGAAGTGGTGTTCCCTTATTTGTTTCCCTCAGTATATTATGGAAAGATACCATGGTCCCATTTGACAACAAAACGTTTGAATCTCATAGAGAATCGTTAATTCATTGGTTGTTTTATGTCATACTTGTTAACAGTCCAGATATATGATGCTGGTCTATAACTGATCAAGTCAGGATCCTGTGAAGGCTAAGGGAGACAATCCTGCATCACAGAGCTGGACCAAAACAAATACCATCGGTAAACTGACTTGGAATTGGGTTCTGGACTGAATGTCCTTGAATAGAACTTTGAATGAAAAGGTAGCAAGCAATTTGGCCTGCATTCTTATCATCTCCATTTTTAGCCTATAATTATTTACCCTAATTATTAGCTCAGGGCTTATATCAAGATAACAGAGGACACATACACAAACACAAGAGTGTAGAAAACATAACAAAGAAAAAGGTAGGAAAGAGAGAAGACATGAAAGTTGTGGTAAATTCAAAACACATTTGAAATATCAAATTTAGAAAACATAAACACTGATTTTCAAATGACCAAATAATCCAATATTATTGAAAGTGAGCTTCCATTACTGACAGATTTAATCCAAACATGATGCTATTTGTTTGCTTCTCTCCGAGTTGACCAGTCACTACAGCTGAGGCAGTCAACATGCTCAAGTCTTCACCAGTTTCTCCCGAGAGAGAGACTGATGAGCACGTCCTGCCTCTTGGTGTGACTGAACAACCTTTCTGTTGTCATGACTACAAATTGGACAAAACTGACAAAATAATGCAAGCTTCAGTGGCAGTGCTTTGTATTACTTTCATTGGGTTTATTAAACATGTTTTGGGGGAGAGAAGGTTTTGTTTTCAAATAGTATTCTAGCTGAATCAGGAAACTGGGACATTAACTACGATCCTCAGGGTCAGACGTCATTGACACAAATGAAATAAACAAACATCAGATGATTAATCGGCGCTATTGGGTCATGTTGTAATGTTCAGGGCGGATACAGCGCTTTGAAAGGGGTGCACTATTGAGAAAAGGGAGGGTGCTCACTTCATTTTCACCCGAAGTTTCAATGGTCATTTAACAAACTTTCAGGAGGGTGCATGCACCCCTCCTCTGAATGAAATATTAACCTAAAGAACATTGTATGATTATATAAGAATATCTTAAAATTGAAATGAGATACCTCCGATTGGGTGTTACAAATAAGAAATCACAAAGTAGTCCTTGACAAAAATATGCAATGAGACAGACAAAACTCTTTTACTTTAGATAAACCCTACGTAATTTCTTGTCTGTCTTTCACTCAAACCACTTGTCTGTAGCCCAAGTCAAGTAAAATTCTGTTCAGTCAAGTTAAATTTGCAAATGAATGACATATGATAAGATTAAAATGTACCGAAATTGATGCTAAGATTCAAGTTGGGGCTTGTGGACTGGAAGGGTTTGGGCACAGACTGCTTCTTTCATAACAAACCCAGCTTGTCCTACAGTAATGTCTCCCAATGTTCACCTATCGCGAAGTGGGTAGGAATGTGTTTACTATTACGTTCATCACTGCCAGTGAAGCAACAGAGGACATATTAATGACACAGCCTTACTTGATACGGGCTTGGTCTCTACATGATGCAAGAAAGGCAAGTCACACATCAGTCACTGACAACACAGTCATCTACAGATGTTACTTCTAACACACCTCGTCATCAGTAAATTCGTTAATTTGTGGGGGTAAGCATGTGGCTTCCCTCTCAGAATCTTTTCTTCTACATGTCTATTTTTAGATCATTAAAAATTTGTCTAAATTCTTTTAGAACAATGCCAGTTTTGAAAACAACATTTGGTAAAATAAATATTGGGTAAATTTTTTTATCAGAAAATTGAGAGTTAAAGTTCAGAAACTATTTATCTGGACAATGTTTGAGAAAATGCAAGTGCCCTGATAAACAATGTCTGACTGTTTCATAAACATATATACTCAACAAATAATGTTATAACCACCCCCAATATTTAATTTTTAAGCATTAATTGGATCATAACATAAACTATTAAATACTTTTATACTGAAAAAATTGGGATGGTCCTTATCTTTTTTCGGTTGAGTATATTTGAAAATATTTCTGTATCTTAATTACAGAAATAATATTAAATACTGGCTTTTGAATCATGTTGATGAATTTAGTTCTGTAAATGCCCAGATTGTTAATGAGACAATTTATTTCAAATGTAGTAACATTGAAAGACAGGTGCCCCCTGTGCTCCATGTTGCGGAAGGTGGCAGTTTACATGAAGATGGATACAGAGAGGAAAACCACGTGTATCTTCAGGCAGTAGGGTGTAATTACCAGCATTATGTCCTGAAAGTGGAACAGCTCTACAGGTCAACTTGACGTCTAACGTTACACGTTGTCATGGTTACATGAGGATTCATCAAAATATTCATCATTACAACACAGTGTGTGATGTATCATTTTCAAGTGTGTATTATAACAACCATTTGACATGGCAAATTGAAAAAAATGTTTTATATTCTTATCTTCGATGTATTTTAACACTGTATTTTACAACTGCATTCAACCATGAATTAAGACGTGTTTTTATATTGGTTGTGTCAACAGTGAAATACAGGTTATCTCTACATACCCTGACTTTAGACATTAGTGTAAATAGATATAAACTTAAAGCAAAACACAACGCTGAATTCTTCCTCCGACATGTTTCATTCAAATGAATTTATAAATTTTTAATTTCTGTTGGGAATTTTTACAGAGATTAACTGCAGGCCAAATATTCATTTGTGATGGTCTAGACTCCCAGTATATTGCTCATCGTCTCTTTTATGGACCCATCACTGATTGTGAAGGGAGGACTGTTTTGAAAAGTGAAACAAAAAGAAGAAATAATGTATCTCAACTTATGCTTATTTCAAAGATGTTTGTTTGCATTTCGGTTGAATCTAATACCATCAATACTTTTTGTAATTTAAAAAAAATGACATTTTAAAAATATTTTGCCTTGTGCTTATTGTGTATTGATCCGAAAATATGAGAAAACAGATTGCATTATTATATTAGTATCATGACTTAAACATATTGTGACCCCCATGTATATTACAAATCTGTCAATCATGCTCATCAGTACACTGTGAGCACCTGCAGCTGTCACCATGGCAACATACAGACTGCCCTGTTCACTGACTGGCTGTCTACTCAGAACATGACTTGCACACATTTGTGACCGTACATCAAAATCTTCAACACAGAATACACGTGACACCCTGTATATATGTTGCACGTTTATAATAACTGCGGTATCTGTGTCTCTGTCCTGCTCCCTAGAAATGATTTTGATACTGACCTGCTGCTACAGAAAGCTTGAGGCTGTTCAATTGTCTTTTCCTCATGGATGTTTTATTTATAACATACTACTTTAGCAACACTGATGCAGTGTACATGAAACATAATCTCAAAATTTGCACCATAATTTTCTTCCTAAAACACATACTTTCAAACAACTTAAAACAACTTTTTATGTAATTATCAGATTGGATTCAACAAGAGAGTTAGTAGATCAAAAATATTTACTGGTCTAGTTTCCAAATCGACAAGCAAATGCTTAATATCTTTAAAGCTGTACATTCTTTATAAAGAAGTCAAGTGTCTTGGGATTTGAGTCAAAGCATGTACTTTGTTGAATATATACACTTCTGTTTGAAGGCAAGTGTCTTGGCAAGAGAATCACAGCATGTCTTTTGTTGGAGCATATGGACTGTGCTGCAGATTTGGATGTTGGAATCAGTTAAGAAAACATGATGGGACAATCTGTAGCCCTGTGCAGCAATTAAGCCAGTATCAAGATCATGAAGTTGGAGTTCCATCAGAGACCTATATACAGCGTTCAGCAAACCGGGGATTAATTCTGATCATTCATGATCGAATACAAGAAGCAAAAACAGGATGTTTTTCTTTTGTTGTCAAAAAACTTATTGCATCAAGTGGTCAGGGAAAACTGGTATTTTCCAGAGTAGCTCAGAAAGAAAAGGCCAATGTTCAATTTATTATTGTTCACCGATCTGAATCTGTGAACTGCCTATAGAGTCAATGACACAAACTGGAAGCAGTTTTTCACATAAAGGGATGTAACTCTGTATGCCACAACTACATTCACAATCGTAACTACTCGTCCCTTTCCGTAACCTGAAAGAAGACTCGTACCCCTCCCGAGCCATTTTACTGAACTTGACTCTGTCTGAGGGCAAAAGCACAGAGAGAAAGAGTCTAGTCGCCAAACTATTTTCAAGGGCATGTAACTCTAGTTTACTTGGAAAACAAACATGGCATCCACGCCAAGGAAATTACCTCAAAGGGTATGTTTAACATGCTTAAATACTTTCCTACGCAATAATGGTAATATATCCTGGCTATAAAACTTCAGGAAACTCAGGAGGACTATGCAATAATTAAAATATACTTGAAGTGTCTGGGAAAAAATTATGCAAGCCGAAATGAAGCTTATTTCAGCTAACTATTTTTACCTAATTTCTTCTCTACATACCCGCATTTTGATTGGCTTGGGGAATATTTCTCCCGGACATGGCTATGAGAGGGGTACGAGTCTACTTTCAGGTTACGGAAAGGGACGAGTAGTTACGAATGCTATATTCAGTGTACAAATATATCAGTTTATATTACTAGATAAACATATTCATCACAAGTGCTTATTTACACTGGAGGTGCATAGGGGTATCCATATTGGAATGTTACAAGATCGCAGGTCTAAGACTTACTTTGTAGCTTCCGGGACAGTTCTCTCATCGTATCAGGATTATCAAAGCTGGTCCGGAGCTTGTTCAGCACATCCTTGTTGATAATTACAAGTTTCTGCAACATGGGGCAAGGGGAACAATTCAATGTTAACACAAAATAGTTGGTTGGTTGTTTAACGCCACACTCAGCAATATTCCAGCTATATGGCGGCGGTCTGTAAATAATCGAGTCTGGACCAGACAATCCCGTGATCAACAGCATAAGCATTGATCTATGCAATTGGGATACGATGACACGTGTCAACAAAGTCAGCGGGCCTGACAACCTGATCCTGTTCATCGCCTCTTACAACAAACATGGATTGCTGAAGACAAATTCTAACCCAAATTTTTACGGGTAGTAAACAAAATAAAGTCTCGTCACCATATAGTTCAACAACAGGCTAAAGCAACATTTACTAAAGGTGGGCATAATGTGTGAAGCCCATTCTTCAGGGTCTGTACAGTGACATTGCTGGAATATTGATACAAGCAGTGTAAAACAATACTCAATCAGTTATCTATTGACAGAGGACAAGGAACAACCAGAACAGTGAGTGAGTGAGTTGGGTTTTACGCCACTTCTAGCAATATTCCAGCAATATCACAGTGGGGGACACCAGAAATGGGCTTCACACATCGTACCCATGTTGGGAATTGAACCCGGGTCTTCAGCATGACGAGCGAACGCTTTGACCACTACCCCACAAAAGGAGTGAGTGAGTGAGTATGGTTTTACGCCGCTTTTAGCAATATTCTAGCAATATCATGGCGGGGGACACCAGAAATGAGCTTCACACATTGTACCCATGTGGGGAATCGAACCCGGGTCTTCGGCGTGACGAGCGAACGCTTTAACCATCAGGCTACCCCACCGACCCCCCACAAAAGGAAAGTATCACAGTGGGTTAAAATGGCCATGAAGCTTGGCACTATTTTTGTCTGCTTTCCTCACAAGCTTGAGGTATATCTTTTCACACAGAGTGGTACAGAAGATGTATAAAGCATCACCAACTGGTTACTATATATTAATGAATTTGGATTCCCATTATGCTCACAAGCAAGACGCATAGATATCTCCACTGTGTTGTATACAAGATGAAGGAAGAGAAGCATCACCAACTGGTTAATACACCAATGAGCTTGTTCCCAACAGCGCTCTAAGAGGCATAGGTATCCCCATTGTGTGGTATACAAGATGAAGGAAGAGAAGCATCACCAACTGGTTAATACACCAATGAGCTTGTTCCCAACAGCACTCTAAGAGGCATAGATATCCCCATTGTGTGGTATACAAGATGAAGGAAGAGAAGTATCACCAACTGGTTAATACACCAATGAGCTTGTTCCCAACAGCGCTCTAAGAGGCATAGGTATCCCCATTGTGTGGTATACAAGATGAAGGAAGAGAAGCATCACCAACTGGTTAATACACCAATGAGCTTGTTCCCAACAGCGCTCTAAGAGGCATAGGTATCCCCATTGTGTGGTATACAAGATGAAGGAAGTGAAGCATCACCAACTGGTTAATACACCAATGAGCTTGTTCCCAACAAGCCTAAGAGGCATAGGTATCCCATTGTGTGGTATACAAGATGAAGGAAGAGAAGCATCACCAACTGGTTAATACACCAATGAGCTTGTTCCCAACAAGCTCTAAGAGGCATAGGTATCCCCATTGTGTGGTATACAAGATGAAGGAAGTGAAGCATCACCAACTGGTTAATACACCAATGAGCTTGTTCCCAACAGCGCTCTAAGAGGCATAGGTATCCCCATTGTGTGGTATACAAGATGAAGGAAGAGAAGCATCACCAACTGGTTAATACACCAATGAGCTTGTTCCCCAACAGCTCTAAGAGGCATAGGTATCCCCATTGTGTGGTATACAAGATGAAGGAAGTGAAGCATCACCAACTGGTTAATACACCAATGAGCTTGTTCCCAACAGCTCTAAGAGGCATAGGTATCCCCATTTGTGTGGTATACAAGATGAAGGGAAGAAGCATCACCAACTGGTTAATACACCAATGAGCTTGTTCCCAACAGCACTCTAAGAGGCATAGGTATCCCCATTGGGTGGTATACAAGATGAAGGAAGAAAAGCATCACCAACTGGTTAATACACCAATGAGCTTGTTCCCAACAGCACTCTAAGAGGCATAGGTATCCCCATTGGGTGGTATACAAGATGAAGGAAGAGAAGCATCACCAACTGGTTAATACACCAATGAGCTTGTTCCCAACAGCACTCTAAGAGGCATAGGTATCCCCATTGGGTGGTATACAAGATGAAGGAAGAGAAGCATCACCAACTGGTTAATACACCAATGAGCTTGTTCCCAACAGCACTCTAAGAGGCATAAGTATCCCCATTGGGTGGTATACAAGATGAAGGAGGTATTATCCAGTGGACAGTCAGTGCCATATTAGGTGTTACCTTGAGTTCGTCCACCTGGCTGGCGATGTTGAGCATCAGTCTCTCCCCCATGTACTTCATCCCGTATGGACCAATCAGTTCCGCCAGCGCTCGCAGCTCTGAAATATAAAGTCACATAATAATCACAAATGTGTATAAGATGATGAACAGGATTTTACCTCAACTAACAAACATGGGGCTGGAATATTGGGGACTGGGGACCTCCATTACTATTAGTTTTAAGGGTCCTGGCAGGCAATATGAGGGTCGTGTGAAGTAAAGGTGTGGGGAACTGCATATTTTGATTTAATGATTGATTTAATTTCTTTAGAGTCTAGAATGAATCATTGATCATTTGAACTGGTGGATGAAATGATGCACGTAGCTGCTCTTTAAGAAACAACAAACAACTTAGCAAAGTCATACATGTTTTGTGGGTACAATGAATAATATTGTGCATCCCTCTGAATGCAGAGAATTTTTTCTCTGTGTGCATTCTCTACATTTGTGCATACTGGATGCACATTTGGACATTGCATAAAACCTTGTTTAATGAATCTGGTGGCACCAATTGCATGGTGAGACCAATCCCTGGACAAATCTCATCTAGACCGACTTCTCTGCATGAGCAGACCTGTCTGGAGCCTGTTGTCTGATACAGTGATACTTTTATTTATTTATTATGCCACACTCGACAATATTCCAACAATACGACAATCCCATGACTGACCTCATGAACATTGATCTATGCTTTGTTTCTTAGTTTACTGTTTAGCACTACCAATATTTCAGCTGTTGGTGATACAGTCTGCACCATACAATCCAGTGATCGACATCATGAACACTGATCTATGCCACTGGGATACAACGACATGTGTCAACCAAGGCTGACCATCCGATCCTCTCAGTCACCCTTAACAAGCATTGGTTGCAAAAGATCAATTCTAACCCAGATCTTTCAAAATGTTCCTGTACCTGTTAGATCAGCGTATTCCTCCGCAGCAAAGGGCGCACCTCCGTCTGAGGAAACGCTAACGAATGCCTTCTGGCTGGGGGAGTAGACAATCTGACCGATGTTGACCGTCACACGACGCAGGAGCACCTCCAGGTACCTGCACAGAAAGATGATATATATCACAGCGTTACACTGAAGCTTCTGCTCTCACTGTAATAAAGAAGTTGCTCATCCCCACACTGCTAACCTTCTTTACTGCTCTAACTTCTACATGCCTCTCAAAGAGGTTATGACATATATCACTACAATTACATAACTGCATATAAGGCAAGTATATTAAATCTTAGATTTAAATCTATGACATTTTTACTATCTCCAAGTACCTATCGCCTGGAAGGTCATGTATGCCTTTAGTAAAAGAAACCTTGTTGCTGTATCCATGTTTCGTATTATATGTTTAATATGTTGGGCTGTGTCCCTGTTATAACAATTATGTCAAACTGTAATGGTTAACATCTCTGGGAATCTCATTCGTCAACAGTTGCCTTGAAAGGGTTTATTAAAGCAATGAAATGAAATGTCTCACAGTTCTGAAAGTTTTGGATTAAACTTAATTTGGTCTAAGACTACTTTGAATAAGACTCATATAATATCTGAAAATATAGTGTGCTTAAAATCTAATTCTATGGTATTTAAATCTAGACACAACTGAAATCGTTAAACATAACACTACATTATTCTTACATTTTTTTTCCTTCTTAAATTCAAATACTGAGCTGCAAACACAAAGAGAGATATACAGGACGGTGTTTTCAAGCACTGTACAAAGTCATAAACTGTGACAGATTTTACCAGTTTGTATAGTTGGATGTGACAGTCTTCTCTCCGGTGCTGTCGGTGGCTTGTGTTTGCTGGGGGAGGACGTTGTTGAAGACTCGGGCAATATCGATATGAACTGAAATGACATCATTCAGTCTGACTGACTGACTGAGTTTGGGTTTTACGCCGCTTTTAGCAATATTCCAGCAACATCACGGCGGGGGACACCAGAAATGGACTTCACACATTGTACCCATGTGGGGAATCGAACCCGGGTCTTCGGCGTGACGAGCCAACGCTTTAACCACTAGGCTACCCCACTGCCCCGACATCAGTCAGTCAGTGAGTTCAACACAGTAATTTCATGTCGAGTGAGTGAGTTTAGTTTTATGCCGCTTTTAGCAATATTCCACCAAAATCAGGGCAGGGGAAAGCAGAAATGTGCTTCACACATTGTACCCATTTGGGGAATCAAACTTGGGTCTTCAGTGTGATGAGTGAGCGCGCTTTAACCACTGGGCCAGTCTAAGTTACACTGCTATATACTGAGTCTAACAACCCTAGTAGAAGGTCACGTCAGCTAACCTTTTGGACTGACCAGTCAGAACACAGCTTACCAAATCGCGAAAGTTAACATTATACAATTATTGACTTCTAGTGAGGTTGATCCAATGATTTATCGACCTTGGACATGTGATGTTCACCAAGGCATCGAACTTGGACATGTGATATTCACCGAGGCGAATAAATCATTGGATCAACCGAACTGAACTCAATAATTGTTATATTGAATGACGATTTATTTCCTCTTCTGACACAGTCGTGTTGTGTCGTCACCAATTCTAAACCAACACAGACACAGTGACGAAGCGATGCCTATCTGTTCCTCATCTAGCGTGACGCACACAGTGCGGAGTTCCTGGCTGGAATAACCCAATCTATTTTTAGCCACGGGAGGTGCTTGGATTGTTATATAAACCTCTCGCGACGTGGCGAGGTTGACATCGCTTAGCGTCAAAGCTGTCATGTGACCAAGTGGGCCAATCAGAAGGACGGAAATCTACCAGTCATATAATAATCGCACATACCGTTTGAACCTTTACCTCAAAAAACTGAGCGATTACAAATGCTATTTTCCACACAATCGCTTCCGAGTGATACACATGGAGGACGTAATGAGTAAACATAATATGATGAAAATAGCGTTTTTGTCACTATTCAAGGATGTCATCTTGCAGAAAAATAAGCTAATAGTAACCATGTCAATAGAGACCCTTAAGTGTATATACTGCAGGTCAAATATCTGTGTTTTATGCTGATTTTCATTTGTTGATAGATCATTGTCAACGACCAGAGAAGAGATAATCCAAAGACCATTTTGTAAGTCCCGCTGAACCCTAACAAGTAGTCGTTGTCTGATTGGTTAAATCCGTTCATTCGTCTCATGTTTGATTGGATGGTCATAGGTCACTCAAAGGTTAGCTGACACGACCTTCAACTAGGGTTTGTTAGACTCAGTATAGCAGTGTAATGAATAAAACTGAGCCTAAGTTTACTTAGACTGACCACTGGGCTAGCCCACTGCCCCAGTAGGCCACATGAACAACATAGCACAGCTAAATAATAAACAAAGCTATCTTAGCACTAAGCATTCTCTTCCCACCGAGGTTACTTGACATATCTTCCTACGAACCTCTAATACGTCCATATTTTCCGGTTCTCGTAAAATCCCCTAGCGGCCCAAAATTGCAACACAAATTATCTCCCTTCTTTCTATCCAATCAGAACACGTGTTACACCGACTTAGAGCCAACTTGATTAATACAAGCAAATGTGGGGCCACAAATATCCCTCCTCTGCCGGGGATTTGTGTTGATGTGACACACAAGACATTTAATGGCTAGCTTGTCCGTTGTCAACGAGGGCGATGGAGACGCCATTGATCCGCCATTACATGACTGAGTTCTGTCTAGAAGAAACGTTTGCGCATCGCGCGAGTGAATAGGTTCTAGTTTTCCCGAAGCATACGGAAATTACCGAGGCCTTGCGAATGATCACTTTTGAAACAACGTCGCTGATTGCACAACTAAATCTGATTGCAACCAATCACGGATCCTGAACACTCGCACCATGAAAGTGCCGTATTAGAACAGATTGTAAGAAAATCATGTATGACAGGTACAATCACTGTAACACTCTGAATACTTTCAGGAACAGGGACATAGGGCATTTATGATCAGATGCAAAGGCTAAATTTCAAAACTGAAAGACAAGTGCTTTCTCTTTCGGGTTTTCATGTACTACAGGTTTGTTTCTGTGTGTATCTTCCCTCACCATAGTTCTCTATACTCTGGAGTACGTTCATGTAGGCTCTCACGCCGTTCAGGAGCTCCGAGGGCTTGGCGATCTCACTGGTCTCTGGGTTGTACATCATCATCCCAACAAGAGCTCTGAAGGTTACAGAGATTGAGGAGATTAACATACATTATACTCATCCGTGAAGAGATTACCTGTTTAATTACACCTGTATCGAACAGTGTTTAATACTATCACAATGTGTCTGTTTAATATCATCTATTCTTGACAAACACAACTATGTTTGCAAAACATCAGACGTGCATAGACACACTATGCATATTAAAACTCACTGCAGCGGACTGTCGACATTTAACATGAACAGTTTTTGCTAAAAGTATCTGAGCCTCTTCATATCATTCCCAGTATGTCTTAGTGTCTTTCACAGCTACGGACTACTTAAATCCGTCAAGAATCACAGAACTTTGTTGCTTGTTAACTTGTCCACAATAAAATAAAATTGGACCCACTTGCTTGTCTGTCAGCACAGGTTTGTAGTGAGAGTGAGTGAGTGTGAGTGAGTGAGTGAGTGAGTGAGTGAGTGAGTGAGTGAGTGAGAGTGAGTGAGTGAGTGAGTGAGTGAGTGAGTGAGTGAGTGAGTGAGTGAGTGAGTGAGTGAGTGAGTGAGTGAGTGAGTGAGTGAGTGAGTGAGTGAGTGAGTGAGTGAGCGAGCGAGCGTTGTTCTACTCTGCTGAAAGAAGGTGCATCGTTCTGGCCTGATAGAAAGGATCTAGGGTGGATGGATAAGGTCAGATACTGTGATCACCAATTCCTCAATGTGTTGGGATCTTGACACATCCCATTGGGTGCCTAGACAGACTGGGATTCTAGAGTGACTCATATCACACTTATTCTTATTAAACATTTGTCTATACTTACTTGTTGAATCTCGTCTCTAGATGCTGAAGGAAGAACTCTCTGGGCACGAAGCCGTGTTCCCACACAGTGATGATGTTGCAGTAGTTGAGGGCGAAGCACAGTTCCGTCAGTGCCATGTGGAGCTTGTCCATTCTGAGGAGTTCAAACAGGATATGAATTGTCGAACAGACACTATAGCAAATTCTTCAGGCTACGATCATTACTGCACTGCTTTAAGAGGTATCTGGGTTAAAATTGGCCTTCAGCAACCCAGGCTTGTCGTAAGAGGCAACATATAGGATCGGATGGTCAGGCTCGCTGACTTGGTTGACACAGGTCATTGTATCCCAATTACGTAGATCGATGCTCATGATGTTGATCACTGTTGATCTCAAACCATGGATCAGGATAAGAGAGAATCAGGGCTTAGAACCATCTATTGACTGCATGGATAGTGACATGTCAAGGGTGGCAACTCTGTAACACCTAGACTTGGTGACCAGATCAGTCTGATTCTCAAAAACCAAGGACACATAGGTGAGTTGGATTTAGCCTTGTATATTTCAGTTGTATCACTGGATGTGAGAAGGAAAGGAAAACACTGTTTCAGTGACGATTTTATGATCATGGAACAACATCCCAGATAGTATTCGGACGTTGGCCCAACGCTATAATGTTGGCAAACCATTGCCAACGCAATAACGTCCGAATGCTATCTGGGATATCAGGTCATGCCTGTACAAGACAATAAAATGTGATAATCTTGAAATGTAACAAAAAAGAAATGCAACCAAAATTAGAAATCATGTTGTCTATTAAGGTCTTATCACAAACTTCACATTTTCATTATCTCTTGGTTATTCACTTGAAGCAATATGATATTTCGCCAATTTTGCCCAAAACTTCACAATATGGTCTGAGAACAAGTCTACTAGGAATCCTCATCCAGCCATGAAATCACCTGGTAAAGTTCTCCCTGTTTTTGCGGATGCTCTCCTGTCCTGGTTTCTCAGGCTCTTTGATCTCTCGGTTCTTCTTCTCCTTGTTCTTCTTGCGCTGCACTGTATTGAGGATGGTGGCCGGACTGTGCTTCGGCAGCAGCTGCACAACAACAACCAAGTCAATTAAGAGATCGGTACAACAACCAAGTCAATCAAAGATCGGAACAACAACCAAAGCAGTCAAGGGATCGGAACAACAACCAAGTCAATCAAGGGATCGGAACAACAGCAAAGTCAATCAAGGGATCAGAACAACAGAACAACAACCAAGTCAATCAAGGGATCGGAACAACAACCAAGTCAATCAAGGGATCAGAACAACAGAACAACAACCAAGTCAATCAAGGGATCGGAACAACAACCAAGTCAATCAAGGGATTGGAACAACAGCAAAGTCAATCAAGGGATCAGAACAACAGAACAACAACCAAGTCAATCAAGGGATTGGAACAACAGCAAAGTCAATCAAGGGATCAGAACAACAGAACAACAACCAAGTCAATCAAGGGATTGGAACAACAGCAAAGTCAATCAAGGGATCAGAACAACAGAACAACAACCAAGTCAATCAAGGGATCGGAACAACAACCAAGTCAATCAAGGGATTGGAACAACAGCAAAGTCAATCAAGGGATCAGAACAACAGAACAACAACCAAGTCAATCAAGGGATTGGAACAACAGCAAAGTCAATCAAGGGATCAGAACAACAGAACAACAACCAAGTCAATCAAGGGATTGGAACAACAGCAAAGTCAATCAAGGGATCAGAACAACAGAACAACAACCAAGTCAATCAAGGGATCGGAACAACAACCAAGTCAATCAAGGGATTGGAACAACAGCAAAGTCAATCAAGGGATCAGAACAACAGAACAACAACCAAGTCAATCAAGGGATCGGAACAACAGAACAACAACCAAGTCAATCAAGGGATCGGTACAACAACCAAGTCAATCAAAGATCGGAACAACCAAGTCAATCAAGGGATTGGAACAACAACCAAGTCAATCAAGGGATCGGAACAACAACCAAGTCAATCAAGGGATTGGAACAACAGCAAAGTCAATCAAGGGATCAGAACAACAGAACAACAACCAAGTCAATCAAGGGATTGGAACAACAGCAAAGTCAATCAAGGGATTGGAACAACAGCAAAGTCAGTCAAGGGATCGGAACAACCAAGTCAATCAAGGGATTGGAACAACAACCAAGTCAATCAAGGGATCGGAACAACAACCAAGTCAATAAAGGGATTGGAACAACAGCAAAGTCAATCAAGGGATCAGAACAACAGAACAACAACCAAGTCAATCAAGGGATTGGAACAACAGCAAAGTCAATCAAGGGATTGGAACAACAACCAAGTCAATCAAGGGATTGGAACAACAACAAAGTCAATCAAGGGATTGGAACAACAACCAAGTCAATCAAGGGATTGGAACAACAGCAAAGTCAATCAAGGGATCAGAACAACAGAACAACAACCAAGTCAATCAAGGGATTGGAACAACAGCAAAGTCAATCAAGGGATTGGAACAACAACCAAGTCAATCAAGGGATTGGAACAACAACAAAGTCAATCAAGGGATTGGAACAACAACCAAGTCAATCAAGGGATCGGAACAACAGCAAAGTCAATCAAGGGATCAGAACAACAGAACAACAAAGGTCAGTCAGGGATGAACAACAGCCAAGTCAATCAAGGGATTGGAACAACAGCAAAAGTCAATCAGGGATCAGAACAACAGAACAACAACCAAGTCAATCAAGGGATCGGAACAACAACCAAGTCAATCAAGGGATTGGAACAACAGCCAAAAGTCAATCAAGGGATCAGAACAACAGAACAACAACCAAGTCAATCAAGGGATCGGAACAACAACCAAGTCAATCAAGGGATTGGAACAACAGCAAAGTCAATCAAGGGATCAGAACAACAGAACAACAACCAAGTCAATCAAGGGATCGGAACAACAACCAAGTCAATCAAGGGATTGGAACAACAGCAAAGAGTCAATCAGGGATCAGAACAACAGAACAACAACCAAGTCAATCAAGGGATCGGAACAACAACCAAGTCAATCAAGGGATTGGAACAGCAGCAAAAAGTCAATCAAGGGATCAGAACAACAGAACAACAGCAAGTCCAGTCAGGGATGGAACAACAGAACAACAGCCAAGTCAATCAGGGATGGAACAGCAGCAAAGTCAATCAAGGGATCAGAACAACAGAACAACAACCAAGTCAATCAAGGGATCGGAACAACAACCAAGTCAATCAAGGGATCAGAACAACAGCAAAGTCAATCAAGGGATCAGAACAACAGAACAACAACCAAGTCAATCAAGGGATTGGAACAACAGCAAAGTCAATCAAGGGATCAGAACAACAGAACAACAACCAAGTCAATCAAGGGATCGGAACAACAACCAAGTCAATCAAGGGATTGGAACAACAGCAAAGTCAATCAAGGGATCAGAACAACAGAACAACAACCAAGTCAATCAAGGGATCGGAACAACAACCAAGTCAATCAAGGGATTGGAACAACAGCAAAGTCAATCAAGGGATCAGAACAACAGAACAACAACCAAGTCAATCAAGGGATCAGAACAACAGAACAACAACCAAGTCAATCAAGGGATCGGAACAACAGAACAACAACCAAGTCAATCAGGGAGTCCGGAACAACAGCAAAGTCAATCAGGGATCAGAACAACAGAACAACAACCAAGTCAATCAAGGGATGGTACAACAAACCAAGTCAATCAGGGATTGGAACAACAGCCAAAGTCCCAATCAAGGGATCGGAACAACAACCAAGTCAATCAAGGGATGGAACAACAACCAAGTCAATCAAGGGATTGGAACAACAGCAAAGTCAATCAAGGGATCGAACAATAACAGCCAAGTCAATCAGGGATTGGAACAACAGCAAAGTCAATCAAGGGATCAGAACAACAGAACAACAACCAAGTCAATCAGGGATTGGAACAACAACCAAGTCCAATCAGGGATTGGAACAACAGCAAAGTCAATCAGGGATGGAACAACAACCAAGTCAATCAAGGGATTGGAACAACAGCAAAAGTCAATCAGGGATCAGAACAACAGAACAACAACCAAGTCAACTCAAGGGATCGGAACAACAACCCAAAGTCAATCAGGGATTGGAACAGCAGCAAAGTCAATCAAGGGATCAGAACAACAGAACAACAGCAAAGTCAATCAGGGATCGAACAGCAACCAAAGTCAATCTGAGAGTTGGAACAACAGCAAAGTCAATCAAGGGATCAGAACAACAGAACAACAACCAAGTCAATCAGGGATCAGAACAACAGAACAACAACCAAGTCCAATCAGGGATCGGAACAACAGAACAGCAACCAAGTCAATCAAGGGATTGGAACAACAACCAAGTCAGTCATGGATTGGAACAGCAGCAAAGCCAAGTCAATCAAGGGATCAAGAACAACAGAACAACATGGATCAAGTCCAAGTCAAGGGATGGGATCAGAACAACAACCAAAGTCAATCAAGGGAGATACGAACAACCAAGTCAATCAAGGATCAGTCAAACAACCAAGTCAATCAAGGGATTGGAACAACAACCAAGTCAATCAGGGATCAGAGACAGCAACAGAAGTCAGTCCGCTTCAAGGGATTGGAACAACAGCAAAGAGTCAATCAAGGGATCAAGAACAGCAGAACAACAACCAAGTCAATCAGGGATTGTCACAACAGCAAAGTCCAGTCAAGGGATGGATTTGGAACAACAGCAAAAGTCAATCAAGGGATCAGAACAACCAAAGTCCCAATCAAGGATTGGAACAGCTTGAACAAAGTCAATCCAGGGATCAGAACAACAGCCAAGTCAATCAAGGGATTGGAACAACAGCAAAGTCAAGGGCTGGATCAAGAACAACAGAACAACAACCAAGTCAATCAGGGATTGGATCAGCAACAAAGTCAATCAAGGATTGGAACAGCAAAAGTCAATCATGGATCAGAACATTGGAACAGCAATCCAAGTCAATCAATGAGTTGGAACAACTTGGCCAAGTCAATCAGGGATTGGAACAGCAGCAAAAGTCAATCAAGGGATCAGAACAACAGAACAACAAACCAGAAGTCAATCAGGGATGGGAACAACAGCAAAGAACAGAACAGCAAAGTCAATCAAGGGATGGAACAACAGCAAAGTCAATCAGGGATGAGGAACAATGAACAACAACAAAGTCAATCAGGGATTGGAACAACAACCAAGTCAATCAGGGATCAGAACAACAGAACAACAACCAAGTCAATCCAAGGGATGGAACAACAACCAAGTCAATCAAGGGATTGGAACAACAGCAAAAGTCAATCAAGGGATCAGAACAACAGAACAACAAAGTCAATCAGGGATCGGAACAACAGCGTCCAATCAAGGGGTTGGAACAACAGCAAAGTCAATCAGGGATCAGAACAGCAGAACAGCAACCTGTCAAGTCAGTCAGGGATCGGAACAGCAGCCCAGAGTCAATCAAGGGATTGGAACAGCAGCAAAGTCAATCAAGGATCAGAACAACAGAACAACAACCAAGTCAATCCAGGGATAAGCCAACTGGCGGAACAACAACCAAGTCAATCAAGGGATTGGAACAGCAGCAAAAGTCAATCCAGGGATGGATCAGAACAACAGAACAACAACCAGAGTCAATCAGGGATCGAACGGAACAGAACAAGAACAACAACCCAAGAGTCATCAGGGATCAGAACAGCAGCAGAGTCAATCAGGGATCAGAACAACAGAACAACAACCCAAGTCCAGTCAAGGGATCAGAACAGCAACCACCAAGTCAATCAAGGGATCGGAACAACAGCAAAGTCAATCAAGGGATCAGAACAAGCAGAACAACAACCAGTCAATCAAGGGATTGGAACAGCAACACAAAAGTCAATCGAGGGGATCAGAACAGCAGAACAACAACCAAGTCAATCAAGGGATGAACAACAACCCAGAGTCAGTCGGGGATTGGAACAACAGCAAAGTCAATCAGGGATCAGAACAACAGAACAACAGCCAAGTCAATCAAGGGATGGAACAACAGCCAA